ATTATTGTCAATTTTAAAAACACCCCTCAACTTGACTAACTAAACTTAGATATACCTCGATCACTCTCGATTTGCCGCAAGATATTATAAGTAGCCTCAAACTCTTGTATGACATGTATAATAAAAAAATTGCGAGAAGTGTTGAAAGTACCCTAAAACTTGCGAGAATTTAGTGATGTATTTCAGCAAAGATCGGGGTGTAATATAAGTTCAGTTAGTCAAATAAAAAGATATTTTTAAAACTGTCAATAATTTGGGGATGAGACTAATAATTCAGATTTTTTAATTTTTCTTCCACAAATTTCGTATGAAATCAAATTAACTAGTTTTACCTTAGTGTATTTGATGACAAAATTGACACAATAAATATCCAAAATAAAGCAAAAAAAGAAAAAAAACACAAGGAAAAGAAAAGTTATGTGCAAACGAGCCCTTATTCCCTTCTCTTTCCTTTTGTTTCTCAGTCTCCGTGCGGACTGTAGAATATGGTCCATAAATATACTTCAATTCTCCAAAATCTTCACTTTCTCAGCCGCAATTCTTCGTCTGTTATTGGTAATTCATTATAATCTTCTTTTACTCCAAGGTTTATAAGTGTTGCTTATCCTATGGGTGAAATTGATGTTTAGTGTGTAAAATTGTTTTATTTTCTGTTGTTTGGTTAGTTATGATTAATGAAGTAGGTGATATATATGGTATTTATGAGATTTCATTGGGCATGTTGTTGTTGATGTTCGGCAGATTTCTCTTCTGCGAAAAATTATTCCAATTTATGTGTGGCTTTTCGTTTTTCGAGGGGACTGATATTTGCGTGTCTTCGAATTTCATGAAATTTATATATTTGTAAACTATTTAAAAATACGGTAAGTCACACAATGCAAACTAATTAAAAGATATATGAAAAATTTATGATCAAAGATAAACTTGTTTGAATCTCGAAATTCAAAAAGTACCCATAAAATGTTATGGAGGCAGTACTATTTATACATTGTTAATTTTTTTTTTATATATATATGGTAGATGTCGAACTCTCTTGGCTAGTTCACATGTTAGTTGATTTTGAACTCGTTTTATTGAAAATCCTGGCTCAGCATCATATGATATTCATACAAGGTGGAAGGTTGGAGGAAATGTTTGGAAAAGTATTTTGGTGACATTTTTTGGTACTAGAGATGGAAAAAGCATTTACTTTGTTGGTTAATATGGAGTAAAAGTTGGGATATTTAGAAAGGAAATGATGTCTGCTATTTGTGAAGGAAAGCATTTTCTCCCTTTTTGCTGAAATTACCAAATACCGAAAAATAATTCATTTTTGATAAATATTGTTCTAGCCATTCAAACACATCTATATGTATGACGTAATCCTCTTCATTTGTATTATATAGAAAGAATTAAGGTCATTAGGAAGAATTCATTTGTTTTTAATCTTGGTTAAATGTGACAGGGAGGCCTGTTGTAGGATTTCTTGGTTATTCACTTCATTCTAATGCTAGTCAAGTTGGATGTCATACTCGTGATGAGAAGATTGGCAAACTAAAACTGGCTCAGGACCTAGCCGGTTTGGTTCAGGAATCTTTGAACTTAGAGGAGAAAAAATCCCAAGTATCTAAGAGATTGGTGCCTATGGTTGAGAAGTCGGTTGAGAATTCGGGAGGTGTGAAACATGGAGCATCACTGGCACAAAACTTAGCGAACTTGGTGGAAGAGTCTTATAATCTTGATGAGTCTAAACCTATGAATCGTGTGGAACATAAAAGATTACTTGAACTACGGATAAAAAAGAGAGTTAAGGAACAGTATGTAAATGGGAAGTTTCAAAACCTCATAAAGAATGTGGTTGCTAATCCAAAAACACTTTGTGATGCTTATGATTGTATTCGATTGAGTTCTAATGTTGATCTAGCATCTAATGGTGAGGATTTACCTTTTGAAGCCATGGCTGAAGAGCTATCTAGTGGGTGTTTTGATGTTAGTGCTAACACATATTCGATCTCAACTAAGGGAGCAAAGAAAGAAGTCCTCGTCTTTCCAAACGTTAAACTCAAAGTTGTTGAGGAAGCAATCAGAATAGTTTTAGAAGTTGTCTACCGACCTCACTTTTCTAAGATATCGCATGGTTGTCGTAGCGGTAGGAGCCATTTATCTGCTCTTAAGTACATTCGCAAAGAGATAATGAATCCAAAGTGGTGGTTCACCTTGCCAGTTTGCAGAAAGCTTGACAATCACATCTTAGCTAAGCTCTTTTTGATTATGGAAGACAAGATAGATGATCCTTTCTTATATACGATAATACGTAGTATGTTTGACTGTGGAGTACTGAATTTAGAATTTGGCGGCTTTCCAAAAGGACATGGTCTCCCACAAGAAGGAGCATTGTCTCCAATTTTAATGAACATATATCTTGATCTCTTTGATCACGAAATGTACAGGTTGTCAATGAGATATGAAGCTATTGATAAAGGATCAAGTGCTGAAGAAAGTGCACCCAACTCCGTGCTACGCAGTTGGTTCAGGAGACAGATATCTGGTAATGGTTCTCAAGAATGCCATGATTTGGGCTACTCTGAAATTAGGGTGCATTGTTGCCGCTTCATGGATGAGATTCTTATTGCCATCTCTGGTCCCAAAGACGTGGCTGTTGCCATCAAGTCTGAAACTGAAAATTACTTTAAGAATTCTCTTTATTTAGAATTTGAAAATGAAATAGACGTTTTTCCATGTGATGGGCGTACTGGCATTCGCTTTCTGGGTAGTGTGATTAAAAGAAACCTGAAAGAGAGTCCGGCTGTAAAGGCCGTTCACAAATTGAAGGAAAAAGTAGAATTATTTGCTTTGCAGAAAGAGCACTCGTGGGACACTGGGACAGCAAGAATTGGAAAGAAATGGCTGGCTCATGGGTTGAAGAAGGTAAAAGAATCAGAGATTAAGCATCTCTCTGATGGCAGCTCCCTTTTGAGCCGAATTTCGTGTTTTAGAAAAGATGGGATGGAAACAGATCATTGGTACAAAGTCTTGCTAAAAGTTTGGATGCAAAATAAAAAGGTTAAATGTGAAACGAACGAGGATGTTATCTTATCTAAGCATATAGTTGAACCAGCTCTCCCTCAAGATCTAAGAGATTCGTATTATGAGTTCCAGATGCGTGTTCAGGAATATATATCTTCTGAGACAGCTTCGACTCTTGCCCTGTTGCCAAACTCAAACTGTTCATCATTTACGACACAGATCATAGCTCCAATCAGCATCATAATGAAGCGGCTTTTTCGATATGGATTGACAAACTCCAAAGGTCATTCACAGCCATGTCATCTGCTAGTTTTTTGGGATGACGATGAAATTGTTGACTGGTATGCAGGTTTAATCTGCCGGTGGCAGAGATGGTACACCGAGTGTGACAACTTTAATGAGGTAAAACTCATTATTTGCAATCAAGTAAGGTTGTCTTGCATCAGAACTCTAGCGATGAAATATAGGATCCATGAGAGTGAGATAGAGAAGAAATTTGATTCTGAATTGCGCAGAATTCCTGCAACTGAAGATCTGGAGCTTGAGATAACCAGTGAAGCAACAAATTCCGAAGCTGTTGATAATGACGCCTTAATGTATGGAATAACATACAGTGGAATATGTTTATTCTCTTTAGCAAGAATGGTGAGTCAGTCGCGTCCTTGCAATTGCTTTGTTATAGGATGTTCAGCTGCAGCTCCTCGCGTATACACTCTTCACGTGATGGAAAGACAGAGATTCCCTGGTTGGAAGACTGGATTTTCTAATTGTATCCATCCCAGTTTACATAGAAGGCGATTTGGCTTGTGTAAACATCATCTGAAGGATCTACTTCTTGGTTATATCTCGCTTCAATCTATTAATTTCAGTGCTTGGTAAGGAAACAACTTCCTTGATGCGAACTGGTAAATACTGCAGCATGAACACTCAATAGTTGGAGTAGATGGACTGGTGACAACAGGAAGATGGCAAAATCTTGTAATTTTTTTGAAGATCTATCTTTGTTGTCTTTATGTGATTGAATTACATTCATCGTTATCATGGGATTATGATAATGTATTGACTTCAGAATGTCCACATCAACTTGGCTGTGTCAAATCAATGGTAAAAGTTCAAAGTTTCTAGGTAGCTGCCTTGAAGATTCTATGAAAGTTGTATGTTGTTGGTCTGATACTCAGAACACATATGGCTCAAAGAAACTAATGTGAAGGTAAATTCATTTGGTAGGTGGAAACGGAACAAGTTATCCATGTATTAGTTTCCGTACCACTTAAATTAATATGATGTTTGTTTGACAATATTAAAAACTGCATAACCAATACGTGTACAAGTTGGTACGAGAAAATCTATGTATTATTTTATTGCGTAACTTTAGTCAGCTACGAAACGACCCTTGAATGCTCAATGAAGTTTATCTTCCTGCTTTCAGCTTAGGCTGTTGTTACATTATCTTTTTGTGTATTCTCAAAATTGTGAAAAGTGTACATTTTGCAGACAAAAAGCTTGTGAAACAAACCGAGATTTTCTTGCAAAAAAAAAGATAGTGAATCTAATGAAAATGAATTTTATTTTACCTAAACAAAGATTAAACTAGTAGATGGTTTATGTACAAATTTGAACAACACTGACAGCGCATTTTACATGCCAATGTTAAATATATTGGCTGAAAACTGGAATATTTGCGTGCAAACCAATATAAACACTCGAACAGAAATAAATCATATGCTTAAGATTTTGCCTGATGAAAGTTTCTAAATCTGTACCCAAAAGATAGGGTTTTAAGGTCTACATTTACGTTCCTAAACCCCACTTCTGAGATTACACTGAGCAAACAAATATTGTTGAGAGGTTAATATATCTGTCAAGCCACCTATAGCTAATGTTGTGAAAGTCGTGAGATAGTTCAAGCATGCACCAAATGAAGAACATAATCATTCTGCACGTTTCTATGCATCTTAACATTTGAAAAAAAAAAAAAACTTGGTGAACATCAATGATTCCACAGACCAGAGGCATGACGTGTTCACCAAACTCTTACCAGAACTGTGCATAGAATTTACAGAAATGTTTAAAAGGTTTGCCATTGTCGATATTCAATTGTTCATAGACTTTCATCAGGATTGTCCAAGTTTCATATATTACATCAAGTCATAGGTGTAGTCGATCTCTTCGTGAGGTGAAAAGAAGGTAAGTCCAATCCCCAGCAGAAGAAACAAATATGTACAAACTACTTTTACATGGTATCAAGATCTACAACATCACCACACTTCTCACGGAATCATGAATGTGCTTTAAGCAACTTTTGGTAGACCAAGTCGATAAACTGATTGTCCTGCAAAAAAAATTAAGAAAACAACCATTTTTTCTTCAATAATAGAAACTATCATGTATGTGAGCTGCATGTTATTGATGAAACTACAATGATACAATTACTAAAATCTAATCATGATCATCATGCCAAGGCATTCTTCATCTCAACCATTCACCAATGGTTGGTCGAACATTTTTCAGTATTTTCAGGAATAGGCTGGTGGCAATGTGCCAAGTTACAGGTCGAGCTAGAGATTACGTGTAAAATAGATCCAACTGGAAATGAGATCCAGAACTTAAAGAGACTCTTTCCAAAAAGAAACTTTTCACTTGTTTAGACTTTAGACAGCAGATGGGAACTATAGCTCTCTAAACATTGAAAAGGAAATTGCACATTAGAAGAAATATGAAGTCAAAACCAAGAATTAATTTGACGGGGCATCTTAAGATACTAACTGATGATTCATCAGTTAAAAGTTAAAAAATTTAAACAAGCCACCTTGGATGTAACTTCTACAATAACAGATATCTTTTAATTATTTAACCAACTTTAAGTACTTAAATAAATAAAACCGAGAGATCTTGATAAAGTAAATAAGAACTTAGATCTAGCATTCTTTACCCCGCCCTCCCCCTCCTTTCCCCCCCCCCCCCCAAAAAAAAAAAAAAAAAACAGAAAAAGAAGAAAGAACTCAGAGCCAGCATATGCATTTTAAACTCAGTTATTTACAAGGATCCTTCGATTGTGCACACAAGTCAGACTGAAGTTACAATCGCTGAACCCCCCCTCCAAAATCTGAATGTGTTTTCAAATAAGCAGTTTCGATAATACGTCATGTCCACAAATTTTATTGATAAAATGACCGAGATTTATCCAGTTGAACGGAATTCAATTACTGTTCAAGTACAGATAAGATGCACCCAGCAATGACTATAATTAATGAACACAGTTGTAGTCATCCGAATAGCAGGCAGAGTACATAAATTAAATCCTGGATGGCTGGATATACCTGAACAAGCATTAGAAGCACGTCTTGAACCTTCTCTCTGCTTAGTGTCACACTTTGTGGAGGAATCTGAGTAGAAGTGAGAAATGGAGGCGAAGTAGGTGTTCGGAAGGGTTGAACTAGAAGTGTACCATGTGGGCGTTGTGGATTCACATGAGGATAAAGGACGGGAGTTGATGTAGCTGAGGAGACAGAAGTTGTCACCAATACAGGTGACACAGGGGGTGTAAAGAAAGAAGGCTTCACAAGATTTGCAGGGTAATTAGTACTATTGATCAGGTTAGCAGAATCGCGGCGTGACTGTCGAGGAGGTGATGGAGCTGACTGAACAGGTAATGAGACTTGCAAAATTGGAGCAGGAGAAGGCAGGGGACTTGGAACTCGGGGTGATGGATCAAAAGTTGGAACTGGATAATGATATGGCAGTCCGGAGTTCACAACAGTCGAAGAGGTATGCCCAATAGTTGCAGCACTCTGCAACAACAAAATTAAATCTCAGGACTTTTCTACAACCCAAGGAGGAGGAACAGTAGGGGAAGACTGCCCTGTATTTTAAAGCCAATGTTTACTACACTAGAAGACATTCTTATTGATCTTCCGTGATGCATTCATCTACTAATGCAGCCTCACTCATATCCTCAAGGAAAAGATGCATTTTATTCCCCTAACTAGACTATCTCAGAAAAGCCAGCTATAACCTCGTTTTCTTCAAAACATATCTCTAAAGCTGCTAGTAGTGAAGCCCTCAAACAGTTTCATTTAGCAACACAGAATAAATTCTTGGATTCTCGGGACTTTTATATTCCTCACAGAAAAGATTCGATACTAAAAATTCTCGTATTCATTTCCATCCACTTGGTATCATGATCATCATTAGTCAACCCATAGTCATCTCTTTTGGACATAAATGTTTCCCTCAAATTCCCAGGATAGAACAGTGTTCCTCATTTTTTTTGTTTTTGGAAAGGGGGTGCATATGCAATTAAATCACCTAACGAAAGCATGCATGAAAATGTGAGGCTTATTCAGACATATATCCTGGTAATGGATGGTCTCTGTAAATGATCAAAGAATATACATGCGTTACAAATTGTTACAAGAATATAGCAAAATCATTGACCAAGAAAATCTCAGGCGGCAACATTTTAAGAAAATGTACAGGGGGCGACTGGAGAAGCCAACAGGTAGAAATGTACAAATAAAGTAAATAAGGTAGTCAGAAGACAGGGGTTAAACACCATTTGGCAATAAACAGAAGCTTCTTTTCGGTTTAAAGTTCATGAACAGATGCTAACGTTTTGAACTTGACAGTTTTAGATGTTAGACGGGAAATTATACATCAATATCATAGGAGGGTTGAGTACATAATACATACATTGAAAAAGTTCATAAAGGAAGAATCATCAGCACCAAACCCATCCGTAGAGGTGGTAAATGCTGGTCCAGATGTCCCTTCTATTGCTGTACTCATTGGGACCACCTCATGATCTGCAAACTCACTGCACTTAAAAACATCAGGGAAAAGTTAAAAATTAGAGTAGAAACAAAACTGCACCAAAGAAGGGGGGAGGATCAAGAAACACAGAAATTAATAGCTGAAGAGCAACAAACATTGACCTTTTTTTATAAGAGTAACAAACATTGATTTAGTCACCCCTTCTGGACAAATATGCTGACAAGGGAAAATTGACAATGGATACAAGATAACAAAGTCATTGATTATTTCTCTATTTCCTCTTTTCTTCCGTAAGTGCCTTTGCTTAAGTTGGATCCTGAAGATCTATGAGAAATCATAAATGAAAGACCAACTCTAGGAAAGTAAAAAGTTCAGATTCTGCTATATGTTCTCTCCACAAGCAAAGAAATGAGCAGGAAGTGTTGCCAACAGCATCCATATTATTGACTTATATTCATATTGGTTAAAGTTGTCTCACTTACCATGATAGTTTCCTACAGCCAATAGGAAAACTCAAACTTGTAGGTTAACTAGCTTACTTTAAATATATTTACTAAAAGTAAAAGAAACATCTGCTTAAGTACTATTGTGATATGTACTCCTTATATCCATTTATAAAGAAAAATTATCCGACACCAGGAGATGTATCCATCTGGCATAGGGGAATTAGATAATTTCTTTGCAGTCTTTCTCTTAAGGATGTAATAGTTTTTAAGGGGGGGGGGGGGGGGCACTAGTATTTAATTGGAATGTATATATTGGTTTTATCATCGAATTAAAAATTAATTAAATGTATATATTTTAGAAGAACGACTTGATTGATGAATATATTGAAGTAAAATAGGCTAGTTGTAGCTGAGGAATGCTACAAAAGTGGAACAAAATATGATATGAAACCTATCAAAGTGACAAAAAAGTTCTACAGACCAATTCTAAGGCCAACAAGGTTTATTTATATAAAAGTGAATGTTGGGAAACAAGTGCCGTTAAAATACAGATGTTAGGATAGATATATCATCATACAAAATTAGACATGATTAGAAATGATCCCATCCCCTAGAGGGTGCAAGTGTCATTGCATAAGGACATGAGAGAGGTCATCAGAGATTGCACCAATTAATCTCACGAAGACTTCCAAATTAACTAATCTGTTGTCACATTGTTGGGATAATTAAGAGTGCTAAAAAATAGATGGAATACATTCACCGATTCACATATCAAAGGAAAAAATCTTTGAAGACCTAAAATAACTTGGAATTCATACAAACTCAACTAAGAACATAACACAACACTTAAAAGGTTGAGTACTAATCTGCGTATTGATATTCCACATAAAATAATACATGTATGATTACATAGGAACCAACAATTGATAATCACAATTTTGCAGAGATTATTTTTCTTACGCCTTAGATCAAACTGATTCTTAGTACTTATCTTCTATCATGCTGTAGCAATGAAACAGTTGCTTACCATGTACTAAAATATGGAAATGCTATAGCTTCACCAGAAACAAGAATATTCATGAGTTGTGGCAAATAACTTGTGCTTATAAGGAAATCACTTGACAAACATCTTAATTCACAGAAAAAGAAAAAAGGGAACCAGGGGAAGAATCAATGACGCCGCACCTTTTTCTTAGCTGTGGCTTCAGGGGAACCTTTGAGTATTCACCTAAAATTCTGGAATCCACCACATCAAAGTAAAATTATACAAGTTGCAGATTATGCGCCATGATTACGTAAGAAAAATGACCCAATTACTTCACATGCCCTGCACCACTAAAACGAACTAACAATAAATCGTTTTGATGTCATTTCCATCGACCGATATAACAAACTTCTTTATCAAGTTACTTACCGATATAACACAATAACTAACTGGTATTTCTATAAGATAAATGCCATTATATCATGTAACACAAAGACGAAATGGATTGCATACAAATTAGACACCTCCATTAACAAAAACACAGAACTGAATACTTAACAGAGACTGGCAACATAACCAACAACAACAACATACCCAGAATAGTCCCACAAAGTGGATCTAGGGCGGGTAGAGTGTACACAAACCTTACCCTACCTCAGAGGTAGAGAGATTGATTATTCCAATAGATCTTCGGCTCAAGAGAAAAATAGTCCAAAGAAACTGGCAACATAACCATCGCGCTAAAATAAATGTTAAATGTCATTAAGATCACATATTTAAAGCCTAAGGTATGTCATAATTTGACTAAACAAGCTTTGAAATTTGAAATATTTCATTTATAGCAGCCTTCAACCTAATGTCTTTTGATAGAAAGACCCTGTCATGATTATCCTTGACAAAGACAACTCATACTACCATCCATTATAAAAATCAATTCAGCCTAGTTCCAATAATAACAGTCAACCACAAGTAATTCGAAATACAAGAATAATAACCAGCCCTTAACAACATTTTCTCTATGTAGGTTGTTCACTTATTTGTTTTGCTCTCTATCATAAATGTATACAAGAATAATTCAACTGAAGAAGATGCCAACCTGCCGAAGAGATCTGCAACCTCCTCAATTTCATGTGCATTGTAAAACCAAATACCATTGACTTCTTGGGCTGCATTGCGATACAACAAGTATGGAACCTGAACCTCAAACTCAAAGTCTCCCAAGAGATCTTCCACCATATTTTCTGCTTCATATGAACTTAGATGTCAAAAAGGAAATCATTCATATGAGGCATTAATTCGAACATCATAAAAGGGACAACTTAAAATAAAGAATTCATAATGTTTTGCCCTATGAATTGAAAAGGAGAGGCCTGAGATATATTATTAAAAGAAGAAATGGGATAATACCTGCACTCCTGCGGTTCATAACAATGAACTGGAACCTTGGCTGAGCACTCCTAAAATAACATAACCAACAACAACGATATCTGGTAATTCAACTTCCTTAGGCCATAATCCATCAAATCCATCAGATTCCCAAAATATTACATGAAAAATAACCTAAAAGCCAAAGAAGCCATCACATAATTATATGCTATTTGCACAGCGTGATAATAGTTTCGGACAAAAGCTGAATTAGAAACTGTTTTTCAGAAAACACTAGACATCCGGGTGCGGGTTACCTCTCCTATGTAGTTTGCGAGCTATTGCATAGGAGCAGGAGTTTTACCCTATGCGCACCCAAAGGGTAGCGGCTGCGGGTTCCCTTGTCATAAGAAAATAAAAAGAAATTTAACTTTAAGGGGTGGTTTGGTAGAGTGTAAACCATTGCATTATTAATACCTACAAATCCATAGTATTAGTAATGCATTCCTTAATACACAATATAGTGTATAACTAATGCATAGATTGGAAAAGAGTAACGAGCAACGTAATAGTAATACACAAGGCCAATAAATGCATTATTTTTCCTAATACATTCTACCAAATGACCCCTGAGTAGGCTTGTCCAATCCACGATCAACATAAACCCCATGAAGGGGTGTCTGACCCGCGGGAATTGCTAGGCCAGCCACATAGCACAAGGCCGATGGACTGAACGGTGTTCAAAGAGGGGGGAGGGGGGGGGGGGGAGTGGCAACGGCTTGTTAGATGCCTACACATTAACCCCAAATTCCCTAATTGAATTCATTGACACCATACCGAAACATTCAGGGTTACAATTTAGAAGAGTTATTGCTTATTTATACAGATGAGAACTATGTCAATTTCAGAAGCAAAACGAACCCACCAACCCTTTTAGAATAGATGTGCTTGTTTGGTATCTAGGCAAGTTAAGGATATTAATTCAATTTCAATGCATTAAATATTGTCCATATTTCTAATTTCTTACTATTGTCCAATCTCTTTCTTCAATTATTTTTTTAATTTATGTTCATCTACTTGTGTGTAAGTGAGTTATTCTAAGGGAACACAATTTTCTTTTATATAAATCGTCTCTAGATTCTTCAATCAAATTTCTTAGTGGAAAAAAGGGGTCCGAGAGTATACCCCTCCCAAGGGTTTAAGGTCAGGTTTGGGCTGGTTCACCCCCACTGGAATCAACTCTGAGCCCTTGAGCTCCTAAATTGGGGCTAGACCAGTTTGCTTGGAACTTTGCCATGAATATGAATGTTCAGACAAGCACCATACAGAAAATACCTGCTAAATTTGATACACCGCCATATGAAACAAAGGCAGATATAAACACTTTATATTTAAATAGAAAACAAAACCAGATACATGGAATATTGCAAGCATACCTCTTAACTACAAAGAAAGAACCTTCAACCTCCTTGCGGCTCTGAAATCCAAATTAAACATTCAATCAATTTATTCTTTAAGACAATATTTCAAGAAGACCCATTGATTGCTTCATAAATAGGCAAAAAGGCGGGAAGCAGGAGTACACAGCGGATCCCTTGGAATATATTTGTCCAAAACATCTAATTTACCACCTTTTCATCCAATGATGTATATCATGACAATTGCGTCCAAGTGAGATTTATTTGTTGATTGCAACTAGCTTAGGATTAAGGCAAACTTCGGTGTTAAGATCATTTCAGCAAGTTTTCTAAGTTAATGCACATATTAAAAAGTATACACCGTGACTTTCTAAATCACGCACAACTGAATCAACATTCGATACATTCTGCAACACATAATAAGGCACAAGTTTTTATAGTAACAACAGAGAACTATACGGAGATCAATTATGAAATTTACTCTACAGAACTATCCATAGGAACTTTAATGATCAAATCCATCAATATACACATAGAGAGATCAATGTATACTCCTAGAAATCACTCAAATATTCACATATATCTACATAAAACAGTATTACATACACACGGCAACACACAATAAGACACTAGTTTCTGTAAAACAGCAAAAAGCAAAAAAGTACAAGAAGATCAATTATGAAGTTTACCGTGTAGAACTATCCCAAGGCACATTTTTTACAATCAAATCCATCAATATACACATAGAGAGATTAATATTCCAGAAATCACTCAAACATTCACATATATCAACATAAAACAGAAGTCCATACATACCACAACACACAATAAGGCACAAATTTTTGAAGTAACAGCGAACTATAAGGAGATCAATTCTGAAATTTACTGTGTTATTTCAAATCACTTTTTACAATCAAATCCATCAATATACGCATAGAGACTCAGATATTCACATATATCTACATAAAACAAAATTCAATACTTACTGGATATTAAAACAATGAATACTGACTATGCCAAATTTAATTCAACAATTATCACACCAAATTAGCCTCTATTTCCTAAACTCGATGAAATATAAATCTCCTTTTCAGAAATTTAAACGAAAATCAAGTTTACGAACCCATTGATTGAGGTCGACGTTGAACTCGTACAACGTAACATGAGCAGCTGTGATGAGGATCTCCTCAATACGCGGATCGATTCTCTGTAGCACAGTGAGGTTTAGCATCTTCGTACTTCGCTCATCCAGATTCGGCATTAACTTTGAATTCGACGACATCTTCTTCTAGAACTTTCCGATTGATCGTACAGAAGCAGATAGATTATAGAGAGAACCGGAGAATCGATTTGTCGATCGGAGAAGAAAATATGGAGAAGTAGAGAGTGGAGTGGGAAAAGTATTTTTTATTAATAAATGGTCATGAGAAATTTCAAAACTAATAAGAAAAAGTGACACTCAATATATGTGTAATTTCAATCTTTGTAATTAAATAAAAGGAAAATTATATATAATGATAAATTAATAAATTAAATTAATTGTTATAATTATTCTTTGATTTAATTGTGTTCTATAGCAAATTGTTTGTCAGTTACTTCTCTTCCTCAAACTCTCGCTCCCCATTATTCTCTCTCGCTCCATCTCTTGCTCGCTTTTTCTCATTTTATACAAACACGACTGTATAAAATATGTTGCTATTTGTATAAAGTGAGATAAAATTGTATAAATATATATATTTTTGTTTTTCTCTCCCTTCTCCCAGATATCACTCGTCACTCTCCCTAATTTCGCTCGCCACCCACCTCTCTTGCTTATACAAACAGAAACGAAATGTATAAATTATATTTTTATTTGTATAAAGCAAAATTTTATATATATATATATATATATATGCAAATACATATATTTTCGTTCTATAAACTTATAATTATAATAAAAAATGATTCAAATATATCATATTTACTAAAAACCAATGCAATGTTAAAATTGGAAACAAAGATTTATCCAAGTTTGTTAAATTTTCAATCAAACACGTGTAATATGTTGAATTACATATCCAATTTTTAATCCAATGGACCAAAATAAGAATTAATACTAAGTAATTTAGGGTTTATTACTCCAAAATTGTAATCTTGAAATAACTATTATACAATATTTGATACGAATTAAAAAGTAAGCTACTTATGTAATAAAATTGATATGACATTTGATTTACTGTTTAAATAAAAACTGATGGCATGTGCATAACTTAGGGAATTTGTATTTCATCTTATGCTGACAAAAAATAATGAAATAATTAATTCTCATAACTAATATTAGAGGCGACTCCAGTATTTTAGACAATAAAAATTGAACGAAGACCTAAACTTTAAAAAATAAATTGGTATAATTTCTTATGAAGTTCATTCTTCTAATTCTTAAGACCCAAAATTGTAAATTTTTTATAATCGACTTTTAAAAAAAATCATTTTCGGTTAATAATATAATCAACCAATTTAATATTTACTTATATCAATTTTTTCCTAATCATTCTCTCCTTTTATATAACACGATAAATTTCACTTCTTTTTATTTTTTTAAAAAAATAGTACTTACCCAATATTTTTCCGAAACAACAAATAAATTATTATGACCTATTGTTGCTAAAATAAAATAAAATACTAATAAATATCTTTTTTTCTGTCATTAACTAGAGATTTTAGATTTGAGTCCACTGAATACAGACTCACCTTGATTAGGTATATTTTATCCTCAATATGAACTTCTGAGTCTGAATTCACTTTTAGTCGAGCTTAAATGGGTACTAAGGGAATTTTTCTCCAAATAGCCACTATAAATAACATAATTATACATTTATACCCCATAGCTATTGTTTTCATATTTACAGACTGTAGCTATGTTCAGCTACCTCGTTTGTATAACTCGCGGGTACGCACGCTTGTGTAATTGAACTATTTTTGTATAAACTTAACATAACGAATATCTACAAACATACACATCTAAACTTAACCAATTATACAAAATTAATTATATTTACAAAATTATACTATAGAAAAATTATACAAATTTTGAATTATAAAAAACTTTAAACCCAACTCACGCAATTATCATTGCAAGTAATGGTTAATTAAAACTATAGCTAAGATGACTAATAAACTAACATATGTTTGTTTAACTATGTCATGGTCCCTACTAATAATTATACATGCATATGCAAACATAAACATCATTTCAAAAAGATTAGATTAGTCAGACTCAAATATAAAAATACTTATATATACATACGTAATTTATATATCATTTCAAAAATATTAATAGATGGGTACTAATACACGCATACTTAAATATAATTAACGTGATTTCATAAATATTAAATTCAGATAAATCTGTGAAAAGAACGAAACCCCATGTTAATTCTTCTTGTAAATCTGTGAGAAACAACATTAGAGCAGCTAAAGCTACTGGTATAAGCCGTAGCTGTAACTGTAGTTTGCCATAGCTACGTAAATAGAGAAGATGAATTACATGCAACACCATTATTTTCTCCATTTTCAATCTTTATACTAAACTATAGCACCAAATTGAAGATTCCCATTGATCAACAACTTGGATAATTTACTCTCTTTGAGGAATTTCATCGAACAGGTAAGAGGCTTCTGAATGGGCTGTTCAGACAAGATTAACTTGGGACTCTCTAATGGGCTTCATCCATTTGGGACCGAAAAACTTTTTTTTATTATTATTCAAATGTACCAACTAGTTTTAAAATCGTAAAATATTATAATACATTACATTATTAGTTGATATATATTTAAAATTAAATCAACTTGATCATAGGTGTGTAGTCAAATTGTACCTAAATTAGTTTGATCAAATTTAGTATTGAATCTAATTCAATTTTGAAATCGTACTATAGCTATATGTTTGATAGGAAAATTAATTTGAAAAGAACTATTATCGGCAGTATTTTTATTTATGGAAATCCAAATTATACTTACTAAAGGAAAATAAATTTCCTTGTCCTAAACATATTTGGACTAATACAATTTTTTTTTTTTATATAATGTATAGTTGATTCTTTTAACGTACTCAAAAGCAAACATAATTAATTTTCTTTGTTTTTTGAGTAGAAAAGAAAGGGAAGATGGAGTTGGAAGAAAACAAGAAGGAAAAGTATGGACAACCTCCCTATTTTGCTCAATACCCTTGGCTTCTTATATGTCATGGTGATGCTATGCACAGACAAACTTATTTCAGTGTATCAGAAAATCGATATTATATGAAAAGTATACCTGAAGTTAAAGAAAAAATAATACATGCTTATGTAGATGAGTGGCTCGTGTTACAAAACATTAATTCTAATGATTGTTATCTTTGGAATCTTTTTTCAAACGAAAAAATTGAGCTCCCGCCACTTTCTACTAAGGGTGACATATCGCGGTGCCTCTTGTCTGCACCACCTCATGATCCCGAATGTCTAGTTATCTTCTTAATTGAGAATGAGGATGAGAACACTAATGAGGATGAGAATAAGAACAATAATGTGGATAAGAATGAGGATGAGAACACTAATGAGGATGAGAACGAGAATTCGAATGGAGACTCTAATGATGATGAGGATGAGGACGAGGATGAAGATGTGAGCTCGGATGAGGATGAGGATGTGAAGCTGCTTACTTTTTACTTTTGTAAACTAGGTTATAATACAGAATTTCATAAACAAGATGTCCAATCAATTATCGGAGATTCACGTCTTGGGATCTGGATAATTTTCCAAAAAAAAATTTATACATTAATTGGGATGCAACATATTCTAACTTATTTGGATGTAGATAATGATTCAGGAAGAATAACAGCTACACCAATGACTAACGAATCTCCAATTAGGTTGAAATCATACTATGGTTACTATAAGGATTACCTCATTCAATCCTCTTCTAACAATATGTTGTTATGTGTTCAATTGATGGTTGGCGGAAGAGATTTTAGAATGCCATGCCACTTGCAAGTAATTCGGTTTGATTTTACAAAAGAAAGATGGATGAAAGCGGAAAGCATTGGAGAAATAGCAATTTTTATAAGTTTGTTTATGGGGACGAGCACAACCTGTTCCACAAAAGGCACAAATCTTAAGAAAGACTCTATCTACTTCACCTACGGTCGTCATCTTTACGTCTACAACTGGATAACACATAGCATCTCATTATCCCTCCCTTGCCCACATGTTAGCAAGACAAAGAATAACCACATGCACTGGTTAACATTAAATCAATAAATGTGTAGTTAAATTTTTTTTTTCTCTTCTTATTCATATTTCTCGTTTTTGTCTTTGTAAATTTTTTAAATCCTTTTTTCAAACATACAATATATAAGAAAGTTAAAGTCATTATATGTTACTTTCCTGTTTTGGATTTTTATAATAAAATGTGATGCATGTAGTTGATGGTCAATCTCAATGAAAATTAACATTTTAAATTAACAAAGACTAGCTAGATTATAACAATTTGGACCTAAAGCACAAAGAAACAAAGAAGCAATTGGTGCAAAGATAAATAAAACATGTAGACACTACCAACATGAAACTGACGATATGATTCAAAAAATTATACGAATGACGAAATAGAATCTATGATAGTGTCAACGACTCAACAAAATTTAATAACGCCAAGAATAGAAAGAGGACAAGAGAAACATATTTTAAGTTTCTTTAGAAGACCAATCTTTCTTTTTTACTTCATACATTTGTAAATCGAAGTTTGAGATTGATAACTCAACTTTCTCCTTGCTTTTATAATTTTTTTTGCTTAAGAATCTTCACTTGTAAAATTTGTGATGATCGTATAATTTCTAGTTCTCTTTACCTCGTATTGTCTTCATAGTTGATCATTAGTAGAAGATATCTCATTAGGATTGATAAGGTAAGACTCAAACTCCCTTACGGATACTTATTCCAATTGAGAATTTTTTATATGTTTGTTTATTAACAAAAAGCCACTAAATTTGCTTATTGAGATTTTTTTTTATATGTTTATTATTAATAAAAAGCCACTACATTTGCTTTCAAAAAATATGTATCATAAAATTAAATACTACAACGAAAAGCGGTTAGAATAAGGAAATTTGTTTTCCTTGTCTTTCTAGAAAATAAAATTGGAATTTCCATAAACAAAAACATTGTCATTTATAGTAGTATTTAAATTTAAATTACTATTTCTGCTGATTCTTTCAAAAAAATAAAATAATTACTTTGACATATATTAAAAAAAATAATAGAAATAACGGTGAGTTCAAATACTACAAGGAAAAGGGATTAGAATACGTCTAGAATAAGGAAATTTGTTTTCCTTGGCTTTCTAGAAAATAAAATTGAAATTTCCATAAATAAAAACATTGTCATTTATAGTTGTATTTAAATTTAAATTACTATTTCTGCTGATTTTTCCAAAAAAAATAATTACTTTGACATATATTTAAAAAAATTAAAATAATAGTGAGTTCAAATACGTTAAGGAAAAGGAGTTGGCAAGTAATTAACGTATTCTCCCAATTCTTATTATAGTTTATAAATAGGGTAATAACACAGGAGATCTCATAACACGTAGTTCCATAATTTTTTTTTTTTACAATGGAGGCTGCATTGTGGTCAGATGGTATACCATCGGACATACTCGGATTAATATCATCACGTCTTATTGCTGCGGAATATTTTATTTTTCGTGCTGTTTGTAAAAAATGGAGACACACACCCGTTACCCCTCCACATTGTCCTGCTCAATCAGAAAAATCGCCTCGTTTGTTCACATTGCGTGGAGATACTGGAATAGTTGATTTCTTTCATCCCGTGTATAATTTTATGACAACTACGTCTATTCCAATTCCGAAATTAATGAATTCTCGAATTCGAAGTTCAAAAGGTAATTGGTTACTGATGAGTCATGGTGATTGCGATATGTTTTTTTTCAATTTTATTAGCAATGAGATAATTGAACTTCCTAATCTACAAGGGGAGAGTCGATATATCACTTGTTGGATATTTTCATGTCCTCCAAACTCGTCGTCATCTGCTTGCTTTGTTGTTGGTTTGGACTACAGTGGTAATCCTCCAGACGTTTGCATCATCAAAATTGGAGAGACTAATTGGACGTTTCATAACTTAAGTGATCTAGCAGATACATATAAACATTTTGCATTAACGGGATGCAGTAGTCCAATATTTTTTAGAAATAATATTGTTTATGTAGTGGGAGATAAAGGAAATCTGGGTATACTTACCATCAATGAAAACTCAACTCCTAGTTGGGAATTTTATGGTAAACCATTTCGAGGTAGAAGAGTAAAGTCAATCAACTATGTTTTCACGGCAGAAGATGTCGAAAACAAAGGAATATTAGTTGTATTTCTATCTCACCACGAAGGGAAAGTAGAGGTTTGGAGGTACAAAATGAATGGAGAGGTGTTGGAGAGGGAAGAAATAACAAGTTTAGACAATAATAAAACATTGTTTGTGAGCTTGGTAGGATCGTACTTGAAAACATGTGTTGCACCGGGGCTAGGGAACAAGATATATTTTTCAATGTTTCACAATGAAAATGGTGTTTTCTATTGTTTAGTCAATCGCAAATATTACTCTTCTGATTATTTGGGCATCAAAACTTATTCAAGTCCAAATATTTTCAACTTCATTCGACCAATATCATGCATTTTGGATCGAATCAGAGGATGAGTGATCGTATAGTTCCATTTTTGTTCTTATCGGAGACATTCCCGGAGCCACGGGGATTAATTAGGTATGTTGTTGTTGGCACTGGTGCTAAAAATTACTTTTTATGACATATTACCGTGTAATAGTGCCAATATGTGGAGAAATCCAAAAGATAAAGTGTCATTAGTATATTTTGTGTATCAAATTCTTTTAATTAATAAAGTAGTTTTTATTTAATATTGTTATCATCTTTTGCCTAGGGATATCGTTACAAACAAAATTTAACGTCATGTTAATTACAAGCATTGAATCCTATAATTACTAACTTGGGCCTCTCTAATGGGCTTCAATCATTTGGGCTGTCATAACCCATTTATACAAAAAGATAGAAAACCTGAAAAACTTTTTTTATTATTATTCAAAGAAAAAATTACATAAATTAGTACACTTTAAAAAATAATTATTAATTGTAGCAATATTTTTTATTTATTACCATTTATAGCAATATTATATTAAATCTTATGCAAGTTTCCCTTATTCAAATGTATCAACTAGTTTTAAAATAATATGATAGCAAAATATTATGGCAACTTTCACATATAGCAAACAAAAAATTTATATTTGTATGCTATACCAAAATTTGCATAATTGCGCTTCATAGCAAACATAAAACTGTATAATTCGCTATACATATATAATTGTATAATTCGCTGGCCTATTTCGCTGCAATTGTATAATTCGCTATCCTATTTCACTACAATTGTATAATGCATAATTGTATAATTCGCTGCCTATTAAAATTGAGTGATTTTATCGATATAAAATAAAGTTTGATGACTTTACTAGATATTTTTGCATAATTTATATCGTTTTAAGATATTGACTTCTACATTACGCTATACTTTTATATTAGTATCTTTACTTACTCTTTTTTTTTTTTTACAATTAATAAGAGTGAGGAGAAATCAACGGAAAAGTTCAAAGAGACTATTTTTGTAATTCAATAAATTAATTAAAGGAGTAGAGGGGTGACGTTTCAATTTTTTTGCTTCTATTGTATTAATTTATCCCTAAAAATACAAATACTCCGTATGACTTGAGCAATAAATAAATATTATTATTTTATTAATTGGTTAAAACCGGAAATAATATATTATTTCGTAAATAATTTTTTTCTTTTTATTTAAACATGGAAAAAAAATCATAATTAAAATTTTAATATAAATTTTATATTTAATATTTCGTATTTTAAATTAATCCTTCGTTTACAGTAAAAGACGCCTAGGAGAAACCAAAATATTATCTATGATTGGACCGTTTTTTAGAAAAGCCTAAAAAAGAGGCAACTTTAACTTTAATTTAAGGGTTGCTTTTTACGAAAAAAACATCCAAGAAGATAATAGGATTTTAAATATTAAATTCCAAAAAAAATTCTAAATTTTTTTAATAAAAATATTTCTTTTTAAATATTTTAAAAAAACTATTAATTTATTTTTGATTTTAATAAAAAAGAAATATTTGGGGCGTAGTGTTAAAAAATCTGAGGCCCAAAAAATAAAACCCTACTTACCTACTTATTGAAAAATACTCGGATTTTCTGTGGGAATATTTTTAATTTTTTTTCTTCAAACTGGTTTTTTTTTAAAACGGGGAAGTCAAACAAATATAATATAATTTATTAGGTAGAAGAAAAGGACTGTAAAATAAATAATTTAACACACGAAGTATTTATAGGTTAGGTTCAGAGAATAAGTACATTCTTAATCCTTCTCATGTTAAATCTATGTTCGTCTTCAATATTAATTCAAGGTATGTCTCGATTTTTAATCTCCTTCAATGTTATTTTGTACCTCTTTTTTGTTATTTTAGAGTTTCAAGTTTTGATGTTTGATCTAAAGTTTTATTTTGTTCCTCTAAAAGTTTTAATTTTTTTATATCTTGAATAGTTGAATGGTTCAATTCAATGTACATCCCAAAGTTTTGATTTTTGATAGCTATATCTAATTTATTGTATATGTGGAATTTAATATTAATTGAGTAGATCTATATGTAATTAGCCAAGATTTTGTGTTTCTTAGTTTTGATTTTCTAAGACTAATTCAAAAAGTGAGACTACGGTTAATTCAACAAGTGAGCACGGAATGATAATTCAACACTTAAACACTAGTGAGGGTAATTGAATTTCTAATTCAACTAGTGAGGGTAATTGAATTTCTAATTCAACTAGTGAGGGTAATTCAATTAGTGAGGGTAATTGAATTTCTAATTCAACTAGTGAGATTCAATTAGTGAGTGTAATTGAATTTCTAATATAATTCAACTAGTGAGGGTAATCGAATTATAATTCAACTAGTGAGGGTAAACGAATTTATATTTCAACTAGTGAGGGTAATTCAACACTATTGAGTGACAATTGTGTAACAATTCAACTTGTGAGGGTAGTCGAATTCTAATACAACTAGTGAGGGTAATCGAATTCTAATACAACTAGTGACAATTGAGTAACAATTCAACCAGTGAGGGTAATTGAATTATAATTCAACTAGTGAGGGTAATTGAGTAACAATTGAGTAACTCAACACAAAGAGAGTAATTCAAGAGAGTAATTCAACACAAGAGAGAGTAATTCATTACAGGAGAGAGTAATTCATTACAAGAGAGGTCTCTTCAACACATGAGAGTAATTCAACACAAGTGAGAGTAATTCATTACAAGAGATAGGTCTCTTCAACACAAGAGAGAGTAATTCATTACAAGAGATAGGTCTCTTCAACACAAGAGAGAGTAATTCATTACAAGAGAGAGTAATTTAGCATTCAACTAGTGAAGTAACTCAAAACATTTCAAGTGGCTGTAGTGTAGAACATTATCTCTTGTTTGATTTCTTATTCTTTCTGGCTCTGGCAGCTGCATCATCCTTCTCTGCCTTATTATTCTGTCCAAAAAAAAGGAATTTCGTATTAGTATATGGACAGAATCAACTATCTTGCATTCTGTATAGGACTCAAATATTAGTTTAATCAGTATGTACCATATCTTTTTGGCATGTCTTGTCATGTTTTGTACGATTAGCAATCCTGTATTGTTTGTTGCATGTCTGACAAGCCATTGTTTTGCTGTTATCGTTTGTTCTTGTCTTAGTCATGATTCAAGCTTACTATTTCAACAAATTATGGATGAATGTCATTAGGTCACAATTACTAGAATTATAGAGTCACTATATAAAGTAAACAATAAATGTACCAAACAGAATGAAGACAGTTACTATATCCTTGACACAGTGATAGAACTTAGGTCATTATAAGCACATTTTTTACCCTTTACATAGGTACATCACAGAACAAATTTATAGCACAATTGGACATCTAGATATGAATTGGATATATAGATGAATGCTCTCCTTATGTAATTGGAGTGCCTAATTTGTGAAGCTGTAGAGGCACTCTACACAGGTCAAATCACTTCTCGATTAAAATTCTTATTTTATATCAAATGTCTTTGGTCAAGACAATTAGCTTGACTCTATTTTGTTCCTTGTGAATCATTTATTTTCTATGTCTCTAAGTATTTTGAATTTCTTTTTCAGATTTGATTTTTAACTTGAACTAGTTTTTTTCCATATGAATATAACATTATATTTAATATAATCTTGAATATAACATACTATTTCAAGCAGTCTTAGTCTTGGTTCGCTGCTGTTAGCAGTCTGAGCAGGGATAATCCATATACTAAATATTTAGAAGTCTAGCACATTCCTCTTAGCAAAAAACAAACATAACATGCAACTGAGAAGACTTTAGTAGAGGCTTGTCTTGATAGTGCATGTTACTTTAGTATGAAAGAAAACATCAAGGTAGTCCTTAGCAAGCAATTGTCAAGTATTAGAATTAAAAATCCTTAGTACACATTGAATGGAAGTATACTTGATACTCTAAATTGTTAGTTGGCAAAGCAAGTCACTACCCTCATTAATGCAAGTAATTGTTAAGTCCTAAGCAAGACACAAGCCTCATTGAGTTATTCAAGTGACAAAAAGCACATTTATAACCCTTGACACAGTTACATCATATATAGACGTTATAGCAAAAGACTAGATTAACTGTGTCACACTAGTTTTGCAGCAAATGTACAAAACAGAATGAAGGTGTTAACGGGATGATGTTCAAGTTTAATAAGATTTTAAACACATTGTCAACATGTTTAATGCAATAGGTTTTAACTGTTACAAGTTTTAATCAGGATTAGAACATACTATTTCAAGCATTTTTAGTCTTGGTTCACTGCTGTTATCAGTCGAAGCAGAACAATAATCCATATGATGAATATTTAGAAGTCTAGCACATGCCTCTTAGCAAAAATAAACATAAAATGCACCTGACAAGAGTTTAATAGAGGCTTGTCATGATAGTATATGTTCCTTTCGTATGAAAGAAAATATCAAGGTAGACCTTATAAATCCCTAGCAAGTGTCAGTATTAGAACTAAAAATCCTTTGTACCCTTTGAATGGAAGAATACTTAATCCTTTTAGCAGTTTAACTTAGGCAAGTAACACTATTTATTATTCTAAATTGTTAGTTTGCAAATCAAGTCACAATCCTCATCAATGCAAGTAATTGTTATGTTCTAAGCAAGACACAAGCCTCGTTAAGTTATTCAAGTGACAAGCTGTAGAATTTAAAATCCTTTAGAGTCCCTAACAGAGTGACATAACTTAACTTCTTTATGGAACATTTATAACCCTAGATGCAGGTATATCATATATAGACTTATAACAAAAGACTAGATTAAATGTGACACAACAAGTAAGTTTTGCTGCAAATGTACAAAACAGATTGAAGGTCTTAACAGGAAGAAGTTCAAGTTTAACAAATTCTAAACATACTTCATAATAGATTCGAAGTGTTGTTTCAGTAACTTCATCAATTTCATCTTTCCTAGAAGGCGAGTTTATAATCTGCTACTCTACTAGATAGAATGTGTCTATTGCTGAGTAAGTCATGGTTGAACTTTAAGAATCTCCACATTTCCCCATAAATGGGGTTCAGTGACGACGTTTGAGAGAAAAGAAGAAGAAATTGTTGTGGAAGCACTAATTTTTTTTTTCGAACTACTTCTCTAGTTCGGTTCGGCCTAATATAGGTTTCGACTTTCATGTAATTTGTTTTATGGTTTACACATTTTCACTTTGACTATAGTGGATAGTAAATCTTTATAGCTCATCTACCATTTGAGTTGGATTGGCACATCTATTTGAGAAAGGTATCAGATAATTATATGCGAAACATTCGAGACTACTACATAAACATGCACAAAAATGTAGTTAATAAGATGTTAGACATTTGTTTGCAATGCATTACATTGTATGTTAATGTAAGAATTTTATTTATCAATATGAAGATTTAAATTATTTAAGTGAAAGTTCTAAAATATTTTTGATAAAAAGTAGATTTTTCTTTAATAATGTTAATATCATCTAAAGTGAAAATAAAATCATAAAATCAACTATTAAATTTTTTTTCAGTATTCTGATGTACGGTTTGATAGTAGTACTGCAAATATGCACAAAACTTATAACTTGTGCCAAGTGTACATGATTTCCGTGTTTTGATTTGTGAGATTATATTAAGTATGTTTTTGTTGTTATTATTGTAACCATTGGTGGAGCCACTTTATAATCACAAGTTCATCAAAATCCTTTTCAGCGAAAAATTATATTATTTACACATGATTAAAATACTTTTATAAATATATATAGTGGATGTTTAACTTTCTTTGACTACTTCTTGTGTATATTTTTCAAATTTTAAACCCGTATATTGAATTTAAATCCGCCATATTGATTGTAACATTTAGTATCTATAGAAGTGTAATGTAGTCTGGTGAAAATAAAACTACAATTTCTTTTTCTTTAACAATAAAAAAGTGCAAACCAATTTAGACAATCCAATTAATTATCATGCTTTAAAAAATTCAATGATAAACTCCCAATAACAATAGACTAAAATATACACAATATTATAACTTAACTTTATATTAATCAATAGGAAATATGCACTACTTTTAGCGATATACGAATAATGCATTGTGACAAAAGAGTAAATGACAACAAGATATAAAAGTTTTTCTTCATTCTAAAAAATATTTTTCTTATACAAAGATTATTATTTTTTTAACGAAGCCATCACCAATAGGTTGTGAGTCTAGGATTGTGGGGGGTTTGGCTAGACCCTTACCATGTAAAACATAATTAAGTAGAAATACTTACAAAAGATTAAAGGGGGACATGAACCAGCTTGCCTCTAACGAACAAAAGAGATTGATCTAACAATCTAAAGTAGCCTATACAAGTTCCTTTTTGGGAGTACAACAATTAATTAGCTATCAAAAGAAATTATATTTCTCAAATCTTCTCGAAATCATAGGGAGTTGTCATTTATCCAGTTTAAACAGTCACATCTGCAATGCAAAAATAGGTGTTACGAAGCGGATTCGATATTTACTATATATATCTAAAAAATTATTTTAACCATATAAAAATAATATAATTATCGGAAGTTCAAATGAACCCAAAACAATTCAGAGATCATAGATAGGCCATAACTACATCAGGTTGAAACAATCATATAAGAATCTACACTAAATTCAAATTATATAAACCGGCTGTAAATAGGAACACTCTCATAAAAGGTATTTTTAAGATTAAAATATTTTTTAAATGTATCTTCTCGTAAAGAATACTCTCATACGGAAAATTTATCCTACGTCCCACCCATATGTTATTAATGTCATAAAATAAATTATCAATTCTCTCTCTGTATAAAACTAAAATATGATTATGATTTTTCTATAATTATTTTTTTCTTCTTCTCATTATTTACCGATCATTAAATTATCACCAAGTTTAGAAGTGTTTTTAATATTTTTCTCAGCTTTTCATTAAGAGTCTCATGCTCCTATAAGAATTTGAAACCGCTAAATGTATCTAAATTTGGTTAATGAGTTTTTCATACTATAAATAGTTCGAGGACTAAACTAATAATTTACTATTTTTCAATAATTCTTTTCTATACCAAAAAGTGCTAATATTTCCTTTAATTATACCCCACTCTTTAAAAGAAAAGAAAAGAAAATTGTCAAAACCCTAATGGAGTCTGAAGGTTCCCATCTACAGCCAAAACAAATTCTTATTTTGCCGGTAGAGCTCATCATTGAAATCTTATCGAGATTAGCTGTTAAATCTCTTTTACGATTCAAGTGTGTTTCATCGCAATGGAGTTGTTTAATCTCTAGCCCTAATTTTATCAAGACTCATCTTAAGTTATTTACTAATAACAAGGATTTCATCCACAATAGACTCCTATTGACATTTATTCAACCTCACCGCCATCTTATGGACTGCTCCATCAATTCCTTGCTTTATGATTCTGATCCTAAGACATTTCAATTGGATTATCCTATGCAAAATCGTCGTAAGTTACTTAAGATTTTAGGTTCTGTTAATGGATTGATTTGTTTATCGATTGGCAAGGACTTAATTCTTTGGAACCCGTCAATTAGGAAGTTCAAGAAATTTCGTGATCCTCAATGTGGTTGCTATGTGTTGCATGGTTTTGGATATGATGAGCTTCGTGATGATTATAATTTAGTGCTTATTTCCAAAGAAGAGGTCAGATTATATAGTTCAAATAGTGATTCATGCAGAACGTTAGTGCATGATCGTTCGGTTAGGGCGGTTAGAGAGAAAAATGGTATTTTTGTGAAGGGAAAGCTTCATTGGGCTAAATCACTTTCACAAGATCAAGATCAATATCAACATTCATATAATGATTGGGACATCATTTGTATTGATGTGACTGATGGAGAATGGGGAAAGGTGGAAAAACCCTTTTATGGAGAAGGAGATTTTGATTTAACGCCATCTATGGGAGTTTTGGGAAGTGATCTTTCTATTTTGTGTAATAATCATAGCCTTCAAACAGATGTGTGGATAATGAAGGAATGTGGAATTAAAGAATCTTGGACAAAGATGTATACCATGAATCGACCTAATGGTCATCCCGAAGGATATCAGTTTTCTCCGCTCTTTTGCGGGATGTCAAATAAAGGAGAAATCTTTTTTGAGGATGATCAATCAACTTTCATTATTTATGATCCAAAAAATGAATCTTTTACAGGTCAAAAGGTGATTATTGATGGATATCGTTTTTGGGAGGCAAGCATCTACATCGATGAAAGTCTAGTTTGGCCCGTTAGCCAGAAGGGAATGATGCAATCTGGGATACTACGAAGTCTAAGAAAGCAAACAAGGTATGAACAACGAGTGCAACAACCACGAAGGTGGGAAATCCCAAAGTGAAACATATTCAATAACTAGTATTAAGAGTTAGCAACACACTTGTATTAATCATCGCTAAATTCTCTTTATTCAATTTTAATGACCTAAAACTAAAAATTTTAATAATACTTTTTTGTATGCAAAATGTTAGTATCACAATCCTAAATTCGTAGTTTGTATTTATAGCTATATTATTCTGATGACATAAAATGAATCTCCACTTCATAGCAAATATTTGTTATTGTACAAAACTTCAATCAATTTGATGGGAGGATACAAGAGCTGCTTGTGATCAGGCATTTTAATAAAATAAAGTACACTTACACCGACCGTACCCTTACCTTTGTGAGGTTGTTTCCAGTAGACCCTCGACATACCTGGATCAATTTACTACTACTACTTTAGTAGAGTAGAAATTATGATGGCAATCGCCATCCTCGTTCGGCTAGTGCGGTAATCACATGCGCAGCAGCCTCCTTAGTATCATTCAGGGGACTATAGCTCCAACTTTCAGATATCTACAAAATAAGAGGATGAAGTCAAAACTCTGGATTGCAGGCATCATGCTCTTTCATGATCAGTGACTGTAAGCATCATAATGTTCACGGGTGAATTCACTTGAATTCCAAATAAAAGATGTGCCAGAGATAGAAGATATTTCGTCAAATAGCATGCAAAATTAACCACTTCTAATTGAATTTCAATACTATATAATGCTTTTAGAGGATAGAGAAGGATATATTGTACAGTTATCTTCCTGCAAACCAATATTTATCAGTATGTCATTTCTGTCCATGCAAAAACTCAACGAAGGAGAATAAAACTAGAAGGGTGATGTTATCCTTGTGCCTAGTAGGAGCCTAGAATATAAATTAATAGAATTATTACTCACATCTTCTTTTCCAAGGAATGGACGAACCACTCCTCGATTTTTCAAGGATTGATGGAAGTCTCTGAATTTCCACGTACATCGCTCAGCACCAATTACATAAACAGGTTTCCTGATGAAATGCTAATGAAAAGGATAACAGAAAAGGGACATCGAATTGAAAAGAGTCAGCATAAAGGCCAACTTACCCCGTACTGCAAGCCTCGCTTAACATACTAACTGAGTCAGCAGTAATAACAAAAGCATCTGCAAAAGCCAAATGTCCCATATGTGGATTTGGACCTGAAAGGTATTAATGTAAAAGGCTCGTATACATTACGTCAGTGGCATCAGAAGGAAATACAAATAATTATGAGAATTAGGCGAAAATTGAAGTATCAGCAATATCTCCTCTTCGAGGGAAAAAGATTAAAGTATCTCTCTGATTATCCTTTCCTTAATAGCAAACTATACTACCCATTTCTTTGTTGAATCTCTATACAAGATCTGCTGAGTAACAATTAAATTTGACATCAGAACACCCTTTTGTTTAGCTCATCAAAAAGCTCAAACTTCTGTTACTTGTTTCTTTTTGCTGTTTATTTTCTCATTGAAGAGACATTTCTCTTCTGCGAGGGACAGGAATACAAACATTGCATCAGCTGTACCTTGACCGTTCCAAATGTGAACTTTAGGATGATTTCCAAGCTCTTTCCATATGATGTCTGAGACCTGTTAACTACAATATCAACAACCAATCACGAGAAGGAAAATTGGCAGATGAAACTGATGAAATCATATACCTTACTAGGAGTTCTACGAGAAAAAGATACTCTGATGCTCCCACAGGTTGGAACAATATTCAGAAGCAAGGCTGTTAGCTCCACTGCTAGGTCTGTACCATATCTACAATGACCTGGAAAGAAAGACTTGTGAGCAAAAAAGGAAAATAACCAGTTAATCAAGTTGTAATAATTGTGCTGGCAAATTCTACATTTTGAGAAGTTGCACGAAGAATTAGAAGCAGATTTCTTATACCAAAAGGAATATCAGAGTAATCATTGAGAACAGACTCAAAAGCTGATATATACAACTTTGCCTTCACAATGTAATAAACAAAGTTATTACATTTCAGTCATATAAAATGCAACAACGCTTCTCTTTTATGAAATGCTTACAATGTATAAATGCTAAAAACGCACTGAGAGATCATCCAAGCTTTACATCATTTTCAGCCACTTCAGGACTAGAGGCATATATTAACAAATCAAATCTTTTTGCAGCTGGAGTAGACAGTGTAACAAGGGACAGGCTATTTGAGTTAACTGGTATCTCCCCTGGAACCTTCCCTGTTAGGTACTTAGGTTTACCTCTTTCACCTAAGAATGTAATAAACTAGATTGCCACCACTGTGTCTCAAAAATTACAGAGAAGAACAGAGCAACCTCTGCTTGACACTTATCTTATGTAGGCAGATTGCAGGTTATTAATCCAGTCCTATTTTGCTAGCATAATTTCTAGGGGTCTGCGTTTATCCTTCCCAGAGTGTGCTTAATGAAGTAGATACGAGATGGAGACAATTCTTATGGAGTAGCACAGAGGAAAAACAGCAGATTTCATAAGTGGCTTGGACCACAATTTGCAAACCAAAGAAGCATGGAGGTTTGAATATTAAAAGACTTTGGAATTTGGCTGCTACTGGTAAGCCGTAAGCTGATATGGTTTACTGATGGAAAAAGAGGATATATTTAGGGTAAGATGGGTGAATGAAGTCTATATGAACAATAGTGGTGATTTTTAGAGTCACAAGACACCTAGTGATTGTAAATAGTGTTGAAAGAGGTTGCACAAACTAAAAATTGGCAATCAGCTAGGGAGGTATAAGCTAACTATTAATGGTCAGAATTCAATTAGTACAAGTTATCTGGAAATGTTGGTACCTTCACCAAAGAGATGGTCATAGATAGCTGAGCTGGTCTGGAATAGAACAATGCTGTTGAAACACGGGTTTATACTATGGTTGGCTGCTCAGGACAGATTGCTTTTATTTTTGAGATGGTAACAAGTTGTTTTAAAAACAAAATCCAGAAGGGGCCAGTGAAGGCCTAATTACAAGGAAGTTAAATACATCTGTCTTATTGGTTTAGTGTTTTTCTAATAAGTCCTCGTAAATAATTTGTTAGCTCGCTATCCCTATTTACTAGTAATCAGTTCGTTGAATATTTCATTCTGTGGAGATATTCTAGGTTAGGAAAATGATTATCTTTTTACTGTTTCTGTTGCTGCAAAGTTCCCTGTAAATAATCTTTTTACGTTTTTCTTTGACTGCATAGTAACAGATGATGCCAATTGTGGCTTAAGCATATTCAGAACCTGGTTAGTTTACTTCATAACATTTCTACAAGGATTAAATACTGACTTTCAAAATGTCAATCACCCCTTCACAACAAAATATTCAAACCACAGTACAGGAAAGAGACTTCAATATGCAAACTACCTGTAGGCCCTCCAACATTAACCACAAGCAAAGGTTTTGGTATAGTTGCTAACTCATCGTGCCAAGTGTCAGCTGCATCCTTCAGCGCATTAGAATCAGCTTGATGAAGGGCTCCAACAGTCAGTATCTGCCTCAAAATTCTCAGTGAAGATGTCTACAAAATGTGGAGGTGGTAAAGAACTCCAAGGTTTTCAAGAAATTTGCATACCACGTGTCTCTCAGGAGATGTGCGAGGGGTTATCCACCTTCGAAGAAACCAAGGAATTTGTTTTTGTCCCTCAGGTGTCAAAGGATAATAATCATGACGAGGTGTGATCACTAGGTCAAACCTATTTAGACGTGATCTGGGATGTTGAATCTGAAAACATAACACAACAGAATCTTACCATTTTAACTAGTACTATATTTTTTTCTACAATAATAACTATTTCTTTTCTCTTTTTTTGATGATTGTGGTGTCAGGGCCAGCTTTCGTGCACCTTGACTAATTTCACGGGATACCTGCCACCTCCCACCAGCAACAGGTGCCAGGTAACTCTGTCTACCAAGAATAGGACAGATGGGAACAATGGTATTCTGTACCCATTATAAATAAAGCAGTACATTGGTTGCACTGAAACCATATTTACAAGAGTGTTGTACGATCTACTGTCCTGTGACTACAGAGAATCTAAAGCGTCAATGATGAAACAGTATCATTGGAATACAACTAGTTACACCAAAAACATAAAGTCAAAATACAATTTCAAATGTTTCAGTGCTACCTAAGTACTGGTTTTAAAACAAAGTTGCCTTACTCAAAAAATAAAATATACAATTAAATTTGACTTACTCAAAAAATAAAATATACAATTCAATTTGACTTGCTCAAAAAATAAAATATACAATTCAATTTGATTTTCTCCATACTATTCTCAATACTTTCATTGCATGTAAGGTTCCTCTCCTTCCAAATTGTCCACCAGATACTAGCTGGGACAATTCTCCATCTAATCCTATTCTTTGCCTATGTACCTGCTCCTTCCCAGCACTATATGTTATTAGCATATTGTCATTCTAATACTCATTTGGAACTTCAAACATGGAAGAAGAAGAAGATATGAAGGAAATTCCAAACAACATTGGCATAGAAAAAGGGCTTTTCGTATTTATGTTAAAGGTTTATATTATCCTGAATACGAGAAAAAACTAAAATAATTTATTTTAGGAGAGCACTTGTCACATGATATCCCTCCCTCCCTCCACTATGTGTGTGACATGACCAACATGAATACTACTATATGCCGAATCTAATGTCCCAACAATTAAAAGCAATGATTATTCAATCTCAAAGATGCAGGAGAGTTGGTCAGTAGAGACGAATAAAATTCACTTTAAAGAACTTGAGGTCCTTAATGTCAAATGATGTTGTATTTCCTAAGAATTTAAATCCGTTATAAAGTCAAACACAAGTTGGTAAAACTAGAATTATGATTCAACAAATTGTGGGCACCCCAAAACCGAGATAGAGTCTCAAAAAGAAATGGAACACCAGAATGAAATTGTGCTTACACGCAAATTAAATTTCATCAGTCTCTGACATCCAATGTTTGGAACAAACAGATCCTAGTCAAAGAGAGAATTATATATGGGTGGCATGACCTTATTATTTTTTAGGGCTTTCAAACTTTGTAGGACTATGCCAAATTATATGAAGTGTCCGAGAAGAAAAGGAACGACGATACAGTAACAATATTAGACATTAAGAGAAAAATATTCAGAAAAACTAATGAAGTGTAAATATGTATTTCCATCACTGGGTTAAAAAGTTCTTATATATCATACAAGAAAGCTTAGTTTTGTCAAACCTGCACAGTGAAAACATATTCTGGAGCTAACTGTTTTATTGAGCTTGAAATGGAGATAGTATCACGACCTGATGCGACTACTAATGATGGACCATCCCTAAATTTTGAGAAAGTGAAATAGAAAGATCAGATGTAATTAACATCTAAGAGCAAGATTTGATCCAACAATACCTCCTGCAAATAAAGAAGTCATAAACAAGCTCACGCGAAATTAGTATTGCAGTTGCATAAGAACCATTGCAACGCACAAGCAGAGACAGTTCCCTCATTGTCTCAAAAGCAACTTCCTTAGGCAGAACCAATTTTACATGTCATTGTGCATTGATCAAGTGTCATATACCTGTTACCATTTTTCCATTTTAGATTTATATTGTTTTTCTTCAACTTACTCAGCTAGTTTTGTGATTCCCATAATTCTGAAAGAAACATTTGAGGTTGCTTGGAGCCAAGTCGCTATACCCACGTGATTTTTATCTCAAAACAACATACAACAACATTCCCAGTGTAATCTCACCAAGTGGATCTGGGAAGGGTAGAGTGTGTGCAGATCTTACCCCTACCTCATAGGTAGAGATGTTGCTTCGGATAGACCCTCGGCTCAAGAATATCCAAGCTATTTTAGAATTATGTTGGAGCCAAGGGTATTACTGTTTGTTACTTCATTTGCTAGATATGTTGCTATTTGTTGTCATATTTTCTTGACTCCCGACTTCAAAAAACTTCTCTTTTGATCCAAGATCTATCCGGAACGACCTTTCTACCCCACAAACATAGGATAAGCTCTAGGTACATCCCACCCTCCCCAGACCCCATTTGTGGGATTGCACTGGGTTGGTTGTTGTTATGATCTGGAGAAAACCATTGCAACACTTGAATGCAATTCTTTCAGATAGAGCTTTTGTTTTTTGATTGTCAAAGAGAATATTCGAGTAAACATTGCATAAACTTGAATTCTACAGTGCAATTTGTTTTCTAATTAGATAAAGTTACTGTAATATGATTTCTATCCCTCATGTGCAACTTTTTTGATTGGTTAAAAAGAGGTTTCATATGAGGGATAGAAACTGTATTATAGAACTTATATTAAAAAACTCAAATATCCTTAAAGGAATACTTGAATTTTTCCTCTTCCCATCTTCTATTCCTGAAGTTTGGGACTAGTGCAACAACATCCAAGTGTAATCGCACAAGTGGAGCCTGGGGTAGGTGGTGTGTCGGCAGCCTTAACCCTACCTTGTGAAGGTAGAAATGTTTCCGATAGATCTTCAGCTCAAGCAAAACATATAGAAAAACAAGTACGTAAAGCAAATATTTAAGGAGAGTCCTGTCCCTTTCTCTTGCTAAGTAAATATATTTGGGTTTATACCAATTCTGAGCCTTCAACTCTATTATCAAGTCAGAGTCAGACTTATCCCAAAAAGAGAAAGATCTCCATTATTGAGCATATCCTTATTACTTCGATTGTCTAGAAAGTTCAAGTGCTCAAGGCCAACAACGATATTCATTAGGTTCAAGCTTAAGATGAAAGGAATTTCCTACCTCCAAGACTTCAATCTAGTGGTAAGAGTGCAATACGCGATGTGTTGATTAGGTGCACGTTACGTGTTTGAACACTACCGCAGGCAAAAGCATGTTGTTTAAGTGGACAAAACTAGATCAAGGAGCACCCACTGAGTTTCAAACCATGCACCACTAGTTTCGAAGATTTCTCGATTATAGAAAAAGGTTAGAAGAATTTCCAGGAACTCTGAAAAAACTGTTTGCATCATTATTCATCATCAGTAGATCTGTTCCACTCCACAACTTTTTCCTCCAAACCGTTGTCCTTAAAATAAATTAATTTGCACTATGTACTTTAGAGTGAGCAACATGTAAGGACCTAAAGCCCCAATCTATGTGTAGCTCCGGCTTCAGTAAGATTTAAGATGACGAACATCTATAAAACTATAGTCAACAATGAAGTTCAACAACTTCAATGCACTTTGTAGGTGCTATTGTCTAGTAAAAATTTCATTGTAAATTCAAAAAAAAAAAAGAAGTAAAGTTCAACAGCAAAATAAAAATGATCAAACAAAATGAGAAGTGCTTAAACCAGATGCATATATACATATCGATGTGTTCACAAACAGAAGCCCGAACTAGCCTAGCTGCTAACAAAATATGAAGTGTAATCATTTAAAGTGATGCAGCAATGTGGAAGCCATGCGCTTCAACAAAGTGTGCACTTCAAACAATGAGGCGCAGAGTGATTCCAACGATAAGCAATCGGTTCTTTAAATTTCAACTTTGAGGAGTTAAAATATATCGGCATTTTTGTCTATTGGATGCTGAAATTAGTTATTTTAATTATAAGTTGATTATTAAAATACTAACTTCATATATTTTGGTACTTCATTATTTTCAGTAAATTGTTCGCTTCACTTCTCATTTTCCACTTCATGTCACATTGACTTTATTTCTTCGCTTTGATACAGCCCAACTAATAGCTTGAAACACACCAAATGGACCACACAACGCACTGGGATGCACAAAATAGAGAAACATAAATATACTAAACAGAACATACTTGGCAAATGCTTCACAGGATAGTGCTGCAATATATTTTGCATTAGCTTCTAGGATATCTGAAGAAACTGCATCAGAACCAACAAAACACAATCATTTGAGATATAATATTAAGATAGCTTTTCAGTATTGAGTGAACTAGCAGAAATTCATAGTACCCTGTCTTTCGGCAGCAAGAGACAACAATTTATGTCCTCTGACTGCTATTTGAGTTGGAAGTGGATCTCCATAAATCAACCTCCTGACATTTTCTAACCTTTTATGGAGAGAAACAGGCAACCACTGAAGTCGCTTGTTAATACCTCCTTTTGGCCTAATAACTCGCTGTGCAACAATGAGCAAAATAAGTGCAAATACCAGATGAGAAACGATGACACATTAAACAACTATGGCAAACAGGACCTTACATGATGCAGAGAACTAATAGTTCAGTTAATTTTCCTTTAAAATCTAATCCAACAAAGAAAACTGTTCTCTTCTTTTTTTCCACATAACATGGTCCATTTGAAGAGGAGATGCACAGATACCCAGTGCGGAGTGGTAGAGGTAGGTCGAAGATGTACTGAAAGAGGTGACTAGACAGAACATCTCGCAACCTCAGCTTACCGAAGACATGACATTAGATAGGAGATTATGGAGGACACGGTTTAGGGTAGAAGGTTAGTTGGTGTTGAGTGTTGTCTCACTTATCATACTAGTAGTCATTGTATTTCTCTTTTAATTTCTTGTTTCTTCGATTTCTATTACTATTTTCTGTTCCTTCTACTTTGACTATCACATTATTTTTCGTAGTTACTGTTCCTTTTTTAGATGTCTTGTCATGCCTGGTTGAGTATTTTGCCTTGGTTTCTTCACTTCTGTAATTTTCTTGAGCCAAGGGTCCATCGAAAATAGTCTCTCTACCTCCTAAGCTAGAGATAAGGTTTACATGCAACCCTCCTCATACCCCACTTGTGGGACTACATTGGGTATGTTGTTGTTGTTGTATGGTCCATTTGCAGACATACTGCAGAAATAGAACCCTTGCTGTCTTCAAATTCCATACAAGGTAGACTAGACTAGAAATACTCCTGCAACTTGCAATCACCAACCCCATAAAAGTTGTCAAGGAAAAAAGTCAGTCCCCCGTCAATGAATAGTTTGAGGTGTATCTTTCAATCACCACAATCAAATTACAGAAGACAAGAGTAGAAAACATTGGGGTTCTTCGTACTACTTATCTTGGTTTACCTCTAGGCGTCGCTACTAAGGACCTGGCAGCTTGGAACCCAGTGGTAGAAAGGGTAGAAAAGAGATTTGCAGGTTGGCAAAAGAGATATTTATCTAGGGAGGGGGAAGGTAGTGTTAATTAAGATTACGTTGTCGAACATCCCCACATATTTTATGTCTATGTTACAAGCCTCAGTAACTATTACATTAAATTGGAATTACTACAGAGAGAATTTTCTGTGGGATAGCTCAAGCTGGGAAAGAAGTTTCACTTGGCAAATTGGGTGATTGTCACTACACCAAAAAATTCCTAAATAAACATCATCATAGTCCCTTGAAGTGGTTCCTATGTGGACCATCAAAAATCTCCTCGTAGAAATAGCTTCTCGGTGTGCGATATACTTCTCACAACCTCGTCCAACTCCTCCTAAACAAGTTTTCTGACCTACTCGTCTAAACTTGCTTACAGTGCATATGGACTAATTATGTTAAAAGTAAGCCCTCCCACAACTAGCTTAATGACCATCATACTATCATTCACCCTCCTAACCTCTACCACTTGCTCTCTGAGTTCCCTATCTACTAACAAGCCTACTTAATTCCCGTTCCTCGAGCTTCCTGATTCCTGAATACCACAACTTAAATCCATTGCTAACAAAGTGTATCTAACATAGATATTACTTTATCTAACATGGTAGCTAATATATACTAATGTAATCCATGGAGCCTCGCATAAACTATAATGAACTACAAAATACACATTCTAGCACACAAAACCTAGCTGAATTACAACGCAGGCGATCAATTATATAGCAAAATACTGAAAAAAAAAGAAGAGAGAAATATATTACAAATAGTGTTTGTCGATGCGATAAGCCCAAAGCTCGAACCAAACCGAAGCACTGATTTTCTGCACCGGCGACGCCATTTCCTATTATAAATACTCTGCTAATGGTTCGCATTTTCGATCATGGAGATCTATTACTCGAATTCGAAAGGGTTTCAGGGATTTTCTCCCCACAATGTGCGGGTTTCGGCTCAACAATTCCAGAAATGTTAAAACACAAAGGTGCCAAAATCATCTCGTATAAGAAAGTGTGTTTATTTTATCTTCTGTACCAATAAAATTACCCTATCAATATCACGAAATTTATAAAATAATATTAAAATTTAATAGATTAAAATTAAAGGGTCAAACTAATCGATAGCCCTTAAAAGTTGACACAAACTATCACTAAGATACTTCATTTAGATAATATTCTTTTTAGATACTTCATGTAAAATTTTGATGTGTCAATTTTTTTTACCAATCAACAAAAATTTATAAAGTCTGTGTTACACTCGCAAATAAATGACGTGAAACTAACAAAGTAGACAACGATATGTGTTATTTACGTAAAACATAATTCTTAAATAATTATTTTTAAATAAAAATAAAAAAATAACCAATGAATCATTTACATATAAATTTTTGCCCAATAATTTTTTTAAAAAAAAATTAATTCAATAAATCCCCCTCCCCCAACCCACCCACCATTGTATTCTCCAAACATCTCGGCACCCATTTCTTTTGATTTTCTTCTCCAAATACGATAGTTCTTTTTCCCAATAACATTTGGGCTCACAACCATCACCACACTGTTCCTTTTTTATTATTTTATTTTTCAAATATCTTTTTGTTTTATTTTTTATCCTAATTAGCAGGTTAAAAATTTATTTTAAAAAATAATAAATTTACTCTTATGTGAAAATGAATTTCTTTCGAGAAAGAATCTCATGAATAATTTATTATTTAAATTGGTCTATTTCTAAATTTTCTAATTCAAATTCATCATTTTACTGTAATTATTTCTCTTCGTCATTGTTGGATATTTATGTTTGCAAAAATAGAGACTGAAATTGGAAAGAAGAACAAGAAAAAAATTAAAAAGTCGACTGAATATATATTTCACGCGCAGTCAACAAGTGTATTAAACATACACTTATTGGGCCAGTTAAGCAAAAAGTGTCAATATGACATAACAAAAGCTGACATGAGGTGTTTAAAATGAACATCATCCGCTTAAGGTATCTAAGTGAAAATTCATGCCAAACTTAAAGGGTCACCTATGGGTTATGCTTTTACACTTAATACTCACCCTCTCGATAATATTTGTTCACTACTCACTTTTGCACACTTATTAAGGAGCTATAAATACAAGAATGGTATTACTGTATTATTCTTTAAATATAATAAATACAATATTTTGAAAAATAGTGTAGAGAAATGAATTTAATTTAGGATAAAAGTTATTTAGGAACATAGTAAAAATTATCCACTGATTTCATAAAGTGAATAAGTATAGTGGAAAACTATCTATTGATTTCATAAAGTGAATAAGTATAGTGGAAAATTATTGCTGAACGGGGAGTAATGTAAAGGAAAATAATAACTATATCATCTTCTCTTTATCCTTCAAACAATCATCTTTAATTTTATTTTATATTTTATCATTTTGCTTTCGGAAAGTGATACTATTAGATATTTTTGGAGAATGAAGTGAACATCAACCTGAGATGTTGAATTTTTTGATAAATAAATAATCGATGGTGATGAGATGAATAAATTTTAAAAGGGATAAAACTTATTTGCACGGTGTGTTTACACCAAGTCAATACATGTATGTCATGTGTTTATATTTATAGTTCATTTTACTTAACCATAATTAATTGACATGTGTTTTACTTCATTAAATCACATAATAATGGAAATTGTATTGGTTTAGTGTAAATATCCAGGGCGAATAACTTTTTCATTTCAAAAGGCTGAAAAAAGTGAACAAATATACTAGATTTGTTTATTTACCAAAACTTCAACATAAATGGTGTATTTATTTCATAAAAGTATGTCATATATCATCAGAAGATAAGCTTTAACAGTGGGTCAATATATTTTATAGAAAAATTACTTATTTGTTCAAGGAAAATCAAAAAGATCGATTAAAGATAATTATTGATGAATCTAAAAACTCTTCGTACATAGATATTATCAACCCAAAACAACAAATATTCAGAAAAAAAAATTTACATAATAATCTATATGAAATAATTAATATAGTAAAAGAAACGGTTAAGTATAACGTTAATGAATAGATTTCTTGAAAATGAAGTAACACTTTTATCCAGTTGTGCTTGTGCTTGAAAGTTTAAAGACTCGTTATTGCGTACTATATATTATCCAATGGGTTAAACTATACTATATTAATAAAAAAGTTATATCATCATCTTAGGTTAACCGATTTAATTTTTAAATTAGCAAATCATGTTAGTAGTACAAAGTATACGATATAAATTTCTAAAAGAATGATTATGACCAAAAAAAAAAAAAAATTTTCTTAGGGGAATGATTATATACCAAAAAAAAAACTTAGATACAACAATTTGTTTTTCACTTCTAATCAATATATGTTGTGTCTTTGATAGTAGTCTCAATTCATCAATATATTTGATTTCCTCTTATTTGGTAATGTATATCCGATAAAAGTATTGAATGAGTAAATCTATTTATGTCACAATTAGTATAATTTATAATTGCATATAGTTCTGATAATCAATTATTTGCTAGAAAGTAAATATGGTGGACAAGTATGAGGTTTTTCTTGATAAAAATTTTAGCTCTTGATAAAAATTTTAGCACAGTGGATTGACGAAGAATCAACGGCACTTTTTCAACGATTTGGTTGAGATAAAATTTTAAAAAAATCTTCTTAGGTATTGATACGATTACGTTAATACGATCACGTCGATACAAACCAGAATATTATAAAGTTATTAATATCTGACGTTTACCTAAATTAGTCAATAATGTGCAAACAATTATAGGACATTATAAAGTTATTTATACCTAACGTATTCAGAATTTTTTATTAGTAGTGTTACATTTTAAAATTAAAAATAATGTATTTCACATATTAATACTATTTATAATAGTAAAAAAGAATTTGAATCAATAAAATGTTAGCATTCGTTTGTTTACACATTGCCTTTGATGTTGTTATAATTTTTTTGTTTATAAATAAGTATATTTATGTAATATAAGTCAAAGTTATGAAATATTTATGTTGAAAAGGTAGATAATACTTTTTTAAAAAAATATAATCTTTTTGTACTATTTTGTGAGAGAACTACTAATATAGAACTTACTTGCTAAGTCACTAATTAATACTACAATTCAATAAAAATATATTTCAATTTCATATACTAACAATATTAAGGTTTCCGATTCAATTTTTAAAATTGAAATTACAATACAATGTTATCTTCGAAAGCATGGTAAAAAATGAACTCAAACATATGTAATCCGTCCAGAATTTTAAGGGTCGGGCTCAATAAAATTTGAATTGGGTTCAATCTCAACACATTCAAACTTAATCCATTTGAAGAGGTATCATATCTGAGCCCAATGCAATCTCCAATTTCAACTCGTTTTAAAACTTTTTATTAAGATATGTTCCTATATTGAAGGTATGAATTATTATTTATTTAGCATCTTTTAGAATTTATTTTATATATATATATTCGTATGATTGTGACATTACTATTTTTATGAAATCTTAATTATCTGAATTATAATTAGACTCTTATTTTAATCAATTAAATCATGGTCATTAATTCTTACTTATGTCATACGTCTCACATCCAAGTATAAATTTGGAGAAAATGGAGAGGAGCCAGATCGATTGAAATATACTAACGTCAATCTTGATTCAGTTAACAAGGTATTATTGGAATCTTTCTTTATTCTTAAGGCTTAAAATTAGTTATACTTCCAAATTTAGAGTATGTTTGGCATTACCTGCTTATTTTTATTTAAAAAAAAACAATTTGTTTTTGCCTATTTATTTGAAAAATAATTTATCATAAGCAATTTGTGTTTGACAAATATTTGTTAAAAGTGCTTTTGAGAGTCGTATTACAAAAAAAATGCAAGTATTAATGTACTTCAAGTATTACGATTATTTTATAAAGAGAAATTATTTTTAATATCTATTCGAATATTAATTTAATTTTTATTTTATTAAATTAAACTGTGCATTTTCAAAATTTTCAATCAATATTATACCTTTTTTGGAATGCTAAAATCTTTAAATTTTTTTTAATCTTGCAAAATATTGTTGTTATCTTTTTTCTAATTGTGCAAAGCAATACTAATATAATAAATAAAATAATAATACATAAACGTAAAATAAAATATAAATAAAATAGTATATATAAATAAAATATAAAATTCTAAGTGAAACTTAACCAAACTTATGAGATATGTTGATTGATTTATAAGAAATCTATTGATGAATATGTATATATGAAAGAGATATTTTAATCTTAAAAACAATAATTTTTTATTTCTGTTTTTGCAAGAAGCAGTGGCGTAGCCACATAGTGGTAAGGGTGTCCAATTGGATACTCTTCGTCCGAAAAAAATAGCATATATACAAGTAAACAGATATTCGAAATGATTAATCAACATATTTTGGACACCCTTTAACATAGCAAGCTACTATTTCTGGATATCCTTTATGAAATTTTTGACTCCGTCACTGACAAGAAGACAATAGAAAAATTATTTCTGCCTCTATTTAAAAACAATTTTAGTATTCGCCAAACTCCTAAAAAAATTTAAAATGAGTTTTTCATTAAATAAGTGTTTTTGGACTCTCAATAACAATGTCAAACATACTCTTAATACAATAAATTGAGGAGTGATTTTGCAAGCAATTTACACAAGATTAAAATTATAATTATAATGAGTGGTTTATTTATACAAGAATAATAATGTGAAAATTATATATTATACAATGATCAATAATATTGGAATTAATATGCACAATTTGCTTGCTCCAAGTGGTTCTTTTCTTTATATAGACTAGACTAGATGTGATTGGCCCTGTTTTATATAAGTGTATTATATCTATTTTTTCGGATTGTGTCAACAAAAAAGTCTGCATATAATTGAATTTCATAAAAGATGATTAAACATTTTAATAAAATATTGTCCGGTACATCTAATGTTAATTGAAATCCATTAAAGATAATTAAACATGTTAGTAAATACAATCACAATCAATGCAGTAAAATAGAAATGTTTTCTAGAGAGAAGAGAGGAGGAAGGAGTAACAAAATTCCATCAAGTTATTCAATACATTTACATTGTTTGTGGGAGAAAATATTTCTTAATTATATCCAAACATAAGCTGCATTTGTTTTTGGAAACTTATAAATGATAGAAAGGTGTGAGTCTACAATATTTATCTTTTTAGTAACGGAATGAAGCTGGAGATTAATTATTTTTATCTTTTTTTTAACCAATTAAATCAATAGATTTTTAGGTCAATCTAACATCGAAGTGACCAAAATATTGATTATGTCTCGTATTTGAGTTTCATTCTACATTATTAGAAACGGAAGTCTTCAACAAATGTTGCTTTTAGCATATTCAATTGAGAAGAAACATATTTAAACTAATAATATTTTTTAATTAAAATTATATGAAAAAACAGTCAAATTAAAAGTTTTGCATAATTCTGAACTCAATTACGGAAAAGTTTACGATAATATTCTTGGCTTATCTAAAGACTAAAAATAATAATTAGGAAGGGATGATTTAATTTTTATGGGATATATCGAGTAGTTTTACGAAAAATGCAAATAAAATGATGAAAACTGTTCACTTTAAAATACTTAAAGAATATTTTATGATAAGAATGATACTTTAAGTACGTAGTTTAAGAATCTATATTTAATGATTAATATAGATCTTTCGAATTACTCCCCCCAAAAAGTGTAGCATTAGCGGCTCATCAAAATAACTGTAGGTGGTTCACTTTTACACCACCTTGCTTACCATCCTAGCTCTGCATCACTTCAGACAACCCCTCATTACTTTGTTGTCCAGCATAATACTAAGTGCTTCTAGTATTAATATAAAGGAAAAGGGTCTGATATACCTCTCAATTTTGTCATTTGGAGCTGATATACCTCTCGTTATAAAAGTGGTTTATATATGCCTTTATCGTTATACAAACGGCTCACATATACCCCTGCCGTTACAAAATGGCTCACATATACCCTTCATTTAACGGATTTTAAAAAATTAGTTTTAAATTTATATTTATTACTTCTAATTTTTTTTAAAAAAAATATTTAGGGGTATATATGATTCTTCTATCAAAGTTCAAGGTATATTTTAATTTTTTCATACATAAATTATTTTTTGACTTCTTTTATTATAATTATTTGAATTTCTTATTCTTATTTTGTTTTTTCTTTCATTCCTTAGCTTAAAGAATAAAAAATTAAACTATTTTTTTGTGTGTTTTGTAATTTAATTTCGTATTCGAAGAAAAAATTTGGTCATCTACAATAAGTTTTACAAGAATATTAGTGAAACATAAATAAATTTGATTATCAAAATAATAATTATAAATTAGTCATTGAAACAAAAAAAAAATTCAAAAAAATATGTTTGACGAGGATTAAATTTACTCATATGGGATTATATTTTTTTAGAAAAAAATAATAAAAATTTAGATTAAAATTATTTTTTTTTCATTTCCGTTAGAGGAAAAGGATATATTTGAGCCATTTATTTACAAGTAGGGATATATATGAGTCACTTTCATAATAAGGGATATATCAGCTCTAACTGATAAAATTGAGGGTATATCTGACCCTTTTCCCTTAATAATATAATGAATGTGCATCTATTATTTGTCTCCTTTCCATAGAAGTGTTTTGAGATGCTAATCCATTACATCTGATACAGTAGTACTTTGCCACAACGACCTTATTAGTCTGGTCAAAAGCACCTGAATAATATCTTATTGTTGTTTCCCACTTGACCTATTTATATAACCAAAAAGGGATTGAAACCTCTAAATACTTGACTTCGTTCCAGCATTGGTGAAATAATGGCCATTTTGAATCCATCAAGGTTGAGTCTTTTTCTCCCACACAGCTTGTAAAAATTTGGTGAATTCAAAAGCCACGCATTGAGTGACTGCAAAATCAATGATTCAAGGGTTAAGGTTGACATTTGCAGCAAGTTGAGTAGTTGATGAACCAATATAATGTTCCAGCGAAAGGGGTGTAAAATGACATTGGTGGCTCCATCACTACTTCCACCATTCTAAAGAGGTCCTTCATGTGTGCAACTAACACTTTTGTCAAATTTGATTATGTTAAGAGTAGAGTGGTGATGGACCAGTAGTTGATTCATATAAACTCAAACAATTCTCCAATTATGAATTAGATTTTGAGATTAAGTTAAATTCACGTGTCATTATCTTAAAATAGTATTAAAGGTTCCTCTCAATTTGGACATTCAATCCGCGGTCCATGCCCCAATTAGGCCTGGGTGCGAAGGGAGTTACTACTTACTAGAGCGAGTCAAAGTTTCACATTGATTGGACAACGGAGTAGTTAGCTTGTATGGACTTGATCATTTTCCCGTGATGAACTAGCTTTTTGGGAGTAAGTTAATCTCATATGCCACATCAGATGTCTTAACAAATCATTGCTTATATTCTCTGCTGCTTCTCTGTTAATTGCACTTTATTTGCCTACCCCTTAGAACTCATAGCAGCATTTAAGCTGAATAGGAAAAGAAATCTGCATAAATAGATGGATAATCAAAAACTTGGATGCAGAGTTAAAAGTTCTTCCGTTTTCAGATTTATCTGTGCCAAATGCATATTGCAAGAAGCTTTTCCTGACCATGATAGTACATGCAACTGCGCGGCGCTTTCCATGAAGAATGTCTAGAGATAACAAGTTTGTCAATCCTCTATTCCAATCCTTATGTATCAGAGCACAACTTTACAACTTCTGTTTAGCTATGTCTGCAGGATCATTCTACTTATGAAAACTTATACCTAGAGAGCTGATAATTAGCAGTACCACCGTATGATGAAGGCTGATTTTGCATATTTTGCAAGTGTAAGAAGGAAACAGTAGAAGCAACAAATGATATAGTAACTCAGAGGTTGAGTAATCTACTTTGACTATCCATAAAATCAGTAGTCCACCCCTCCAAGAATTATCTATTAATCGGGGTAAGGAGTCGTTATGCCCTGAACAAGATTGACCATCTGGCGATCACTATGATGACAACGTTGCTAGTCACAGTAGTACTGATAGTTGAGAGTGAAGCAAACAGTGGAAGCATGTGAGAATCGATCACAAGGATGAATTTCTAGTTTTAGCTGGAAAGCCAGAAGATGGCAGCAGTGGACTTTGCAACAAAATATAATGTACAGAACTGTAACCCTGTATAATAATAGACCAGTTTCAGTTATGCTAATTGATACTAACTAAAAATGTGGCTACATGAGTTCTAACAGTATTCAGAATTTTGAATGTTATGTGATCTCTAAGTACCACATGAGCCTATTGGATGCAAGTAGGTCATTGCAACAACTTATTTTCTACTGTGGAGTTGTAACTAGTACAAAATACTTTTTTTTCATCTGCTAAATGATACTAATAAGCCACCTTTCGATACAATCAAATAGAAAGCTCCAAGGGCGCCATATTCTAGGAGCCCAAACTATGTGATAGAATAAATCCTTGCTTTAAGTGTTTGTTGTGTATTAAACGTTGAACAAATGGATTGTAAAGTACTTTTTAATTACTTTCCAAACCTTGCTCTATTAGCTGGAAAAACACTTACCTTTCTTGTGATCAACAGAATTCTTTGAAAAATAAACATTGGAGTCTTCCTTTTGGTTTAAAAACTGCACTTAAAATCCCAGAATTTCCTCAGCAAAGTGTGAAAGTAATAAGAGAGGAGATAACTTCAACAAGATAACGAGCTACTTAAAAATAGTTTGTGTACCACTCGAGACTGATAGGGAAGTGGTAACCCAATCATTATTTATCAAAAGTCTTTAGAGTTTTTCTTGGAGCAAATAGAAATCAATCAAGACCAAAGCAAATACCAAACACTGGGTGGAATTCCAAAAGAACTAGTCCACTGGTTGAGAGCACCCTACAAAGCAATCTCAGAACTGTTACTGCTTGGCCTGTAGTTGCTAAGCTCTAATAGCATTAGCCTTGGCCCCTATAATTAATACAGAATTGTTACCTCATGGCAACCAAAATGACTGCTCAACCTCAATTACACAACCTGCTAAGCCCCCATCATACACAAAACATAAGGACATCAGCAGAGAGCAGAAAGTTCTTCACAGTGTGTGTCAAAAAAGAGATCTATGTAATCACGTTTCTTACTAAAAAGACTAGCTTGAATAGAATAACAGATACTATGAAATATTCTTACTATAAAGACTAGCTAGTATAGAATAACAAATATTATGACAGAAGAAGGCAGCAATGCTGAAATAGAAGATTATGCTTTGAAGGGCAAAGTAGATTACTATTAAAAGCATTTAAGAATTCTTTTGAGATGTGTCACAATAGAATGAAATAGAACACTCAAAAGCTAAGGCAAAATCTAATATCAGAACACTGGAAAGTAAGTTCAACAAAACCTTCAGGAAGTATGGCCCTCCTCAGCCGCAGCTTCAAAAGTTTCACCAGCCACAAGTTCTGGTACATCATCATCATCTTCCTGTGCTGCAACAGCACCTGCAGCCACATCTGCAGCACCAGGTGCCTGCTTCTGGAACTGCTCAGCCAACTTCTTCAAGTTCTCCAAATTATCAGGACCTGAAAATTGTAATTTTCATCAGTCAAAACATATACTTAATTGTTCAAGGTTTCTAACGACTCAATGTAAGCCTAAAAAATGGCACATACCCAGCTGGTGAATAATTTGAGGAAGAATATCCTGCAATTCTGCAAGAGGAAAGAAACATTGCTTAGAAATTCTTATGCGCATCCCCAAAACATAATCAAAAGGACCGTAAGGAAGCACAAATCCGCTAACAATCAAGACTCATGTGTTGGAGACCCAACAGAAAGAATGCTAGTCTCATAATCAAATTTGTTTCGTGACATAGTTATAACTAATAAATCATATGTGAAGGTTACATTCATAAGGTGCAAGGCATGAGGAAAGAGAAGAGCACATACTCTTTGTCTGGGGGGTACCACTGACTACCCATGTGTTTGCAGCAATTGATGCTTGAACTATACAGAATCAGAAACAAAAGGTTATTAGAATGGCAATAATGCGACAGATAACTAAACTATGTGAAACATGGATTATGTTTATACCTTTGGGGTTACTGAATTGGATAACAACATCCTCTTTGAAAATGTTGACTTCTTCAATGGCAGGAATGGCATTGACACCTATTCTTTTCAAGGTGCTCTGTAGTCTTTTGTCATCAGTTGTAGTTGTTTTGTGTACGGCTTTCTTCTTTCTGTAGAAGAAGCACTCATTCAGCAAACATGAATGAGAAAAATAAGATATCCCTTATCAATACACTTCTCATTTCTCCTTCCTATCCCTTCCTCACTCAAGTTTTGACCCTTGGACAAACACTTGTCAGTCATTACTACTTAAGTATGTGTTTGGCCATTAGATTCCAAATATTTTTCATTTTATTTGTAATTTATGAATTTGGAGATGAAGATGGAGTTTGATTATATACTTTTTGCAAAAGAGAGAATCAACCACTTTATTTGGAATTTATGAAGATGGAGTTGGAAGATAGGTTTGGAGCACTTTCTCAAACTTGGAATCACACTCCAAGTTAGAATTGGAAATTTTATAAACAAACACTCATTTTGTAATAATGAGCAACTCTTAAGGAAAAAAAGGAATAGTTATCATGGCAAAACAGGCTCTCAAGTAACTGGAATCTTTCAAGTTAGCAACAAACCCACATTGTTTCTCAATACATTAACACAAACTATTTCCATGTCGCAACAGTCACAGAAACTACAGAAAACTAAAAATACCTTCTCATGGTACCCTTTCCACCGGTTCTAACCGAACCGGCCATCTTTTGCAACTTTTCTACATTCATCTGTCCCAGAAAAACAGCAAAAGTCAACATTTCTCAATAAACAAGCAACAAGAAACTGGCATATTTGTCGCACAGTTTTACAGGCACGATACATCTGTAACAACCTCCATGACTATAAAACTACACTTAAAACACATACAGAAAACTCACAAGCCAAAAAATAAATGCTTATATAAAAGAAGCTTAACACACAAGCATACATGAATGTTATATCTAACAGCAAGTACCAACTTGACAAAGACAAGACCAGGAAACAACACATCCATATTTTCAGGTAACCAGTTTTCTAAACTAATAAACTTGGTCATTGATATGCAAAAAGAAGATAACAAAATAGTAAGTCTCCCAGCAAACTATAGAAAGACAAACACTTAAGTGCTTAAGGGGAGCTTACAAAATCAACAAGTAAAGAAATGTCATTAGATAATTGGTCATTTATCCCCTTTATGCAGTTACAAAGTATGCAAAACATTTATTCAAGAATATTACAAAATCATTTCCAAAATCCACATTAAAAATATAAGCTTTATCCTTCAAAAATCAAAATTTCACCCTTCTGTGTCATCTAACAGTAAGAAAAATCCCCATTCTACCATACCACAGTCCTACTATAGTATAGTACACAGTCAAAGTTCCACCATAAAGCAAGCAACTTCTTTTCATTTTTCAACAAATTAAGATCCAGGAAACATAAACCATATCCAATTGAATCAATAACATCAATTCATCCAAACACCATCAACAATTTAAACACAAAAAGAACATTCAATACTATTATCCAAACAAAAAGCATACACTTAACACACAGAATTCATCAGATACATGTACAAGCAAAGAGAGAAAAACCAAGAAAATCATAAAATTGAACACCCATTGGGCAGATTAGGGGGTAGGTGGAGCAATAGAGAAGCTAACCTTGTGAGGAGAAGACTGAGCTAAAACCCTAGCCGCAGATAAGAGGGAAAAAAATGGAAGTCAGAAGGAAAAGTTGCTCGGGTGAAGATAACTATATATTGTACTGTAATGCGAGAAGTTTTCAATTGCCGGTTTTGCCCTCAACACTTTCTCAATAAATACGTATGTATCCCTTTTTTTTTTCTTTTTTTTCTTCGATAATAGATAATCGAAAATTAAACCAAATCGATAGACTATATTGATATTTTAGTTTAATGATTTTATTTGATTTTTCAAAGATATAAGTAAACTAAATCGATGGACATTTTCTTATACATAGCTTTTATATAATATAATATTGACTAATGTGATATATACATTCTAATACAGTTTATAAATAATTATATAATTTAGTGAAGGTTTTTAATACTTATCTAATTTGGATCAAATGATAAACTTACGAATTACAATACCTTCTCGACCTCAGAAAAATTCAAATCATATTTCAATGATAAATCTTGATGAGACGAATATAATGCACCAAAAATAATCTCAAAATTTCATCTACAACTATGAGAAATATCAAGTTCATGCGCAATTACTCGAGCGACATCTCAAAAGCAAAGTGCTAGTCATTTTCAAATTACTTATCAATCAAATTTTATTATGGTTCATGATGTCTCACCTATTGGGAATAACATGTCATCAATAAATCCATATCACCATAATTTTTTAGAAGATTCTTGTCATTTGATAAATATCAACTGATAAACGAAATTACATTTTGTATATTATCATATATATGAGTGTATCGATACTTCAGTAATTTTGGGATAAATCAATTTTCTAAACCATTAAATTGGTCAGTGATAAAACAATATGGTTACAATTCTGGACCTCCTTTGATTCTTCTCTTTTATAATTTCTCTCTGATTCGAGGGTCATAATGACATATTTCTTGAACTAGGGTGAGATTTATTTGCTCTGTAATATTTTTTTGAATACTTCATGAATTTACATAACATTCGAGATGTCTCTTTTAAAGGAATATCCTAGTAAAGTAGCCTATAAGAATTCTAACTGAAATTGAATATATTAAAATTTTATCACTATTGCGCCTGAATATGTTTCTTTCCCTTTAATCACCTTCTGAGAATCCACCATATAGTCAATTCATTCATCAGTAAAAGAACACATTTTACCATTATTTCCAACAATATATGTTTCATTTCGAGTTGTTTAGGATCCGTTGCCTCGATATACAATGTCGAATTCAATATTTTCATTAAGGAGACTCGAAAAAAAAGTGTAGAAGGAATATGTTCTTCATTGGGAGATTGATTGTTTGAGCAACAATCGGAAGCTCAATTGCCCTAATACCATGTTGATGTTGGATATTTTGTAATATATAGAGATTTTAAATTGAACATAGTTCATGAAAAAATATAATTATTATAAAAAGTCATTTGTTCATGAAAGAACATAATTGTGTAAAAATTCATCTCTTAAGTTTTATAAATATAACGACTCATCACCATAAGTAGCCTAAAAAAATATACATGTATATGCAAAGACTTTGTCGTATTCTCAAGTAAATGACTTGTATTTTCCCCAACATGTATACGAGCAATATCTCTTAAAGAAAAAATATTCTTCATGCTAAAAATCATCATTTTCTTCAGCTATACTTCCTAATTTTTCTAATAGTTGATACTTGAATTGTCAGAGATGAAGAATAAATGGTTCAGAGGAAGAAGACAATGTGAGAGAAGAGAAATAAATTATTTAATCACAATTGGTTTATTTACTGCGGAAGCTATGGACAGTAATGATGGTTTAGAGAACTCAAAAGAGATAAGTTTCAAAAAAAATGCTTTTTAAAAAACGACAACTATCATATCAAATAATTAAAGAGTAGTTAGCCTTGCGATTACAAAATTATATAGAAGCATAAACTGGATCATTCGAATAAACTTGACCAAGTTCATTGTCATGACCAAGATAAAATGAACAACAAAAATATGAAGAAAATCCTAAGAGATCTTACCTGACAGTCAATATGAGCACAATAATACAAAGTGTATCACATAAAGATTAAAGTAATTATAAATATTATGCTAAATTAAGATGCAATATAATCAATCTCAAAATAATCAATTTTATGTATGATATATCACAGGTCAAACAAAAAGTTATATAATGACAGAATTATTGAGTTCGATAGTAAATAGAACAATAATTTCAAATCAAGAACTTAACAAAAGCCTATAATCTAAAACGACCATTAATTCCAAATAATAATAATAATTAAAAAAAAAAAACACCCCTAATTCAAATCAAACAAAATAATGCTTTTTCATTTGACAAAACAACTTTTTCACTACAAAAAGCCTAAGGGAGTTGTCCCGGGTATTCCCCAAACCATTTGATCACCAAATTGAGGATTCATCAAAAAAATTTTCAAAGGAAAACTTTAAAGGAAATTAGGGGGGGGACAAAAAATATTTTCTTGAAAATTAATTATTTATTAATTTTTAAAAAAATATCAGTGGGGAAAACTTTTTTTTTACCGAAGGAGTAAAAGGGCTACTTCAAGTAAATACTTCAAATCTTTCTTTTAAAACTAAAAAAATCTTTTAAAAACCTACCCAATTTCAAAGGGCCCGTTTGATTTGAAAAGAAAAAATTAAAATTATACCCCCAATCAAACATAAAAAAAATGAATTTTAATTTTGCGTCTAATATGACTATATAAAACAAAAAATAATGTGAAACTCATACTAATTTTAGCTAAAATCAATAATCAAACACACAATATATGTAAATACCAAATTAAATAGAAGTACTAACCTAATCATCGCAGTAACTTGATCAAACTCATTTTCTTGCTCATTAGATAGGTTAGCACTTGGAGGTACAAGATTCTGTAAGAGAAAATCCATGTTATTGAAATTTAAATATGCATCACAAATTTATACTAATTTTAGGTAGAATCAATAATCAAACACAAAATATACGTAACACCAAATTAGATAGAAGCACTAACCTGATCATCAAAGTAAACTTGATCAAACGTGTTATCTTACTCATTAGGTAGATTAAAACTTGAACGTTCAAGATTCTGAAGGAGATAATCCTTGAAATTTAAATATGCATCATGATTTTCCTTCTTATTTGAATTACTCCCTTCAACATAATTCTATATATGATGTCATATCAATATTTCTTGGACCAAACATGATTGGTTTAACAACATGTTGTTGGGAATTTGCATTTAGACCATTAATAGTAATATTTCCAACATAAGTATCAAACATCATTCCACTAGAATAAGTTGTCATATTGTTGAAATTGACATTCAAGTTGTAGTTACTAATTATTGCATTTTCAATGTATGTATTAGACACTATTCTTCTTCATGAATGTGTTGCTTCCTGGGCCACATTGAGATCAAAGTTGTAAAATTCCTTTTAGTGTGATTTTTTCATTGTTAAGTGTCATATCAAGCCTAAAATTAGTATTCCCATTAATTGAGTCTTGTAGTCCCCGTAAATCCAACATTTCAAATAATGGTCAATGTTGTTTGGGGAGACAAAAATAAATTATTAAATGATATGCTGAGATAATAGGTTGAACCTGAAATTGTGGACGGTAGAGTTGTTTTTGAATTGAACTCTCTCCTCGAGCAAAAATATTATTGGTATTATTAGTAGGAAATGAAAACTCTGGGTCTCTTGGGATTTGATTTGGTTTCCATTGTTAATTTGGTACATTTGCTTGAAGATAAGGCATTACCCTAAATTTTTGAAAGCTACCTCTTGTTTCTTGAGAAACATTTCTGGATGGCTTGATTGATCGGTGACGAATATATTTTCTCTCTCCTGGAGATCTCCAATTGTTACAACGACATTTCTGAAAGGTTATATGAAAACAATAAAAAAAAAATAGTAGGTCATGGATATATTTATCATTCGACTCATTGTTATTTAGGTGTATTTGAAATGACCGGAGTCATTTTTAAAGAAAAATTTTTTTCACATTTTGTAATTTGGGCATGATAAAAATTTTTTGAAATTATATGAATTAAAGGTTGATAGTAATTTTTTTTCCCTGAACTATAAAATAATAGAATTTTGCAACGAACAATTGAATTCCCTTAGTAAACATGTAACAAAAGTTTTTCACTAATTTTTTTTAACGATTGAGTGTTATGTTATTTGATTTTGAAAAATAAAAACCTAAATTGTGGTTACATTGGAATAATCATGAAGTTGTTTTTTTTCACATTTTTTGGGTAGATGGGGGAACGCCAAATACATAATTTTGTAATTTGTTTTCACATCAAAGATTTATATGAATTTGTTTTTGAAATGAATTGATTTTTTTTTGTCACAATGTATGAACATATGTTTATTTAATTATGTATAATATTTTTATTATATCAGCTTGATGGGAAGATTGAGGTTATTTCACTTTGAAAAAAAAAATTGAATGACACCAACTTAAATCACCAAACAAATGCAAGCTATACAATTTTTTTTGTATTTATTTTGATGTGGAATTTAAAGGATGTAAAATTGTAATGTCGAAGTTATCATACAAAAGTTTGTATTATTTATATTTGAACTGGTGAAGTTTATTAGTACAAATTTGTTAAATAAAATTTGATCTGCTTTAAATGTGTTATTTAGTAAAGTTATTCATTATTTTGAAGGCTTCATATGTAAATCAAATTCCACATTAATTATTAAAGTAATAATAATAATTTTGTGAGAATCGAGAAATAAAATTATATATTTAAATATTAATCTCATATAATGACAATTTTAAATTCACGCAAATTAAAATTTAAAAATATCAATATCATACTGCGAAGGATCTAAACTGTCACAAACTGATATTAAAAAACCTTCACAAATTTAAAAGTCATCTTGTGGAGACTGTCGTGGAGGTTTACGAAAAAAATCTTAAGAGAGCTTACCTGAAAGTCAATATGAGCACAATTATAAAAATTATATCTTATAAATATTACTAACACACAAAATATTATACTAAATTGAGATGCAATATAATTAATCCCACAAATAATCGATCCCATATAGAATATATCACCGTTAAACCAAAAGGTTATAAAACGATAAAATAAATGGGTTTCGTATTAAACAAAACAATAATCCCAAAGTCAAGAAACTAACAAAATCCTTTAAACTAATGATGAACATTAGTTCCAAATGGAAAAATAAACACAAACCAACAATCCAAGTCATACCAAACAACACAGTCTCCAAAAAACTTTGTAAGATGTAATTTCTACTTGAAAATACAACTGTCAGTACTGAGGAGCCCTTAGGTTATGAGAGTTGCAATTTCTAGTTGAACGCTTGATATCCCTACCATCTGCATATTAAGATTTAAAGTAAAATTTAAAGAAGATTGTAGATGTGACCACTAAATTTAAAGGAGATTAAAATTTAAAGTAAAATTTAAACTAGTATGTAATACAAATAATGATTTAAAGTTCTTAGCTAATATAAGTAATCAAACACGAAATATACGTAATATCAAATTAGACAGAAGCATTAACTTTACCATCAGAGTAAACTTGATCAAACTTACCATTTTCTTCATGAAACTTAGCACTTGGAGGTTCGTGATATTAAAGGAGGTATTCCGTATTCAGGTAATATGCCTCGCAATCTTCCTTCTCACTTGCATCAGCCTCTTCAATGTCACTCTCACATAATGTCGCAAATATATCTGACTCATCAATATATTGTTGAAAATTTGTGTTTGTTTCTCCTACTCCATTAATAGCCACATTTCCAACATAAGTATCAGACATCATTGCGTTATCTGAACATATTGCCACATTTTCTGCATTGGCATTATATTCATTAACTTGCACATTTCCAGTGTTTGCTCCAGACACTGTTTTGTTATTTGAATATGTTGTCCCATAGACCGCATTGAGATTCAAGTTGTTATAGGCATATTGAGCATGATCATGATCTCCGTTGTTAAACGCCCAGGCAGGTTTATAATTAGTGTTCCCAGTAATTGAGCCTTCTAGTTCTTGTGAACTCGACATTCCAACATTATTTTGGGCCAACAAAAATGAGTCATTGAATGGATTGTCAATATCGAAAGAGTAGGGTTGAACCTGAAGTTGTGGGCGATAGAATTGTTGTTGAATTGAATTATCTCCTCTAGCAAAAACGTTGTTGGCATTAGGAGTTGAATATGAATGCCCTAGGCCTTTTTGGATTTCATCTGAGTTACGTTGCGGATTCAGTACATTTGTTTGAAGTCGAGGCATTGCCCCAAATTTACTTTCATGTCCTGACGGGGCACAAACATATCTTTGCTCTTTTTTGAATCTCCAATTATTGCGACGACATTTCTGAAAGATTGTCATAAGAAAACAATAAAAGAGAGAGTTAGACCATGAATGCATTTATCCTCTGAACCTATTGTTGTTTAGGTGTGTTTGGAACAACCAAAATCAATTAAAACAGTAAATATTTTTTGGTGTTTGATAATAGGTAAAAGACTAAAAAACAATATGAATTAAAGATTGATAGTTATATTGTACCATTGTACTACAAATAATAGAATTTAGTTACAATTAATTAAGTTTTATCCGAAAATACTGTATTTCTAATCACCTTTAATGAGTGAATGTTTTGAAAAGACTTTTGAATACGGAAAGTTGAAAATAATATTTAAATATTTACGGATAAAAGTGAAATAAAATTACAAAATCTACTTTTGATATAAATAAAAATTAAGAATAGTTGCAAAACAAATAACTTCTCACTGAAGTTTGTGCTAAAAATTTTTATCCAAACAAAACATTTTCTATAGCAACCAAATTTGATAAAAATAACTTCACAATTTTATTTTTGTGTTTATATTTTGCAAAATAACTTTCCTCGTGGCATACATACACAAATAATACATGATTACAATTTATTTTTAAAAAAAAGATGTACCTGTAGATGGCTAGCGATTTGAATTCTTGTAAGACCAGGCACTTGCATAAGCTCAAAAATCTTCTTGGGGTAACAATCTACATGTTCCATAAGAATATAAGTTTAATTTAATAACTATAATATTTTCATTTCAACTACGTGTAAATACAACAATCATTGTGCTTTCGTATCATATAAATTAAAGTTCGCTATAAGTAAGAATTTTCATTGTTAATATTATTCAATATAAATAAATAATCCATAAATTTAATGAATGGTGAAGTAAACTTACTTCCATCTCCAAGCTGTCGTACAACTTTCATAAATTTGTCATGAAGTTGATCAGTCCATTTAGTTCGATACTTTCGCCTAACAACCGTATTAATAGCATTGCTTTGACTCTCTCCTTCATTGATATTATCATTATTATAAATATCATCAATAGTTATTTGATCTCTATTTTTTTCTGATCCTTCTCTTGCTTTCTCTCGTTGCATGTTCCTCTTCAAAACAATTTGCCATAAGTATTGCAAAATTTCTTCATCAAATGGCTTTTTAAGGGAAAGATAAGCTCCTTTATCCAAAGCCTTTTTTGCTACCAGCTCGTTGAGTTCATCATAAACAACTGCATAATTGATTGAAAAATTTATTAATTAAAATTGAATTATATTATAAATTATACGAATAGTTAATGTCATGCTTACACTAAAATTTTATTCAATATAACGATAAAATTACATAACCATTCTCTATAATATAGTAAAAGCAGAAATTAGCAACTGATAATTTATGTCGCTAAACAATAGTTAATTTCATGCTTACACTAAAATTTTATTCAATATAACGATAACATTACATAACAATTCTTTATCATATAGTAAAAACAGAAATTAGCAACTGATAATTTATGTCGCTAAACAAAAAAATCCTTACTAAATCATATTTAACGATAGATTACAAAAAATATTATTTATTTAAAAATAATTTAAATAAAAATTAAAATTGAAATTTATAGCAAATTTTTTTTCAAGGAATAAATCAAAATAACGGACTTTTACCATGGTAGAATATAATAAGTGAAAGACTAGAAAAAATACTTACCAAGTGTAATTACATCCAACACCACGGCTTGAGCTAAGAGGTCAAAAGAATAAATGTTCGATGGATGAACATTGAGTATCATTACGTCAATCTTTTGTTTTTTCTTGAGCATTGACATTGCTGCTAAAGCCGTATCAACCGTCACAACTGTATTAATGGTTTGTAAAAGTTAGGAAGAAATTAATTTCACGAAATTTTCAGGAAAGTTGTTTCTTTATAAACAAACTCAACTATGATTCTTAGGTTATATTGCAACAATTAAGTGTATGCAATTGTGTATATAGATTAATCAACTTATATTATAATCATTGTGTGCAATCTAACAAAACTTTATACAATAATATTTTAGATGATTACTTGGATTATAAAATTAAAAATATCATACAGAAATATATTATTAAAGAATCTATTCAAATCAATTAGCAAAGAAATTGAAGTCAATGATTTAACACACAATGTATACAGAACAATTAATGAATACTAACAAAGTGATTGAGAAATAAAAAATAAAAGTATCATAAAATAGCCCTAAGCTATATTAAGGGCTCATTTGTTTTCATTAAGATTACGAGGTCTGATTTTAAATACACATCTGAATATTAAGATTTGCATTAAGATTTAAATATTTTGATTTGAATATACATTTGAATATTAAGATGTGTTCTCTAAATCTGTACAGTAAATAATTAATATTGTTTATTTTCAATATCTGAATGTGCATGTGAAATTAACATTTAATTAATAAAATATCATAAAAATTTCATTTCAACAAAATATATCGCTTTTGATTTTAAAAAGTTTTAAAAGTTTTAATAATCATGATTTGGAAGTATAATTTTTTTTCATTCAAAAACCTTGATAAACGCCAACACACCAACAGTGTTCTTGATACAATCAATACAAAAAAATTATTAATATAAAAAAAACTTGAAAGATTTATGAAAACTTACTAGTTCAAGAGGGGGGAAGTGATGTTTGATTAAGAAAAGAGAGAAAGAAAGTTTTTAGTTATAAGATAAAAAGGCACACTTAAAGCAGAGAAACGATAGTTTATTATTTGATAAATTATTAAATGAGTTTGAATGTTGTTAAGAGTCTCCTACAAATTTCATTCATTCAGACCTCTTCAGACCCATTTAGAGACTTTTTAAAAATAAAACAAACAAACTTAATGGGCTAAATCTAAATTATTCAAATTCAGACCTAAAAACCAAACGTACTTAATAGGCTGAATCTGAATGATTAAGATTCAGACCTCCATTAAGTGCAAACAAATGAGGCCTAAAATGACGGGTATATATATTTTTTGCACGGTAAAATAGTTCAATAAAATAAACATTTTAAGCTTCCGGATAAGATAATTATAGCATTTACTTGTTTTTTTTTTAAAAAAAATAATCTAAATATTGTCTATTTTCTTCAAAAATTAAAGTAAAAGAAATAATTGAACAACCATAAAACTAAAGCCAGAATAAAATAAGTGAAGTTTGAAAAGCGTTGAGTGTATGTAGGTTATATAACTACTTTGTGAAGGTAGAGAAATTATTTTCAAAGACACTCACATTAATTTCAAAGACACTCATATCTCATCTTCCTATCTTATGTCATGCCCTCAATAACTGAAGTTGCGTCATGTGTTGTATAATCACATCTCCCCAATAATTTTTTAGCCTACATCAACCTCTCCCTCAAGACCATTACATCCAACCTCTTGCGCCTTCTCATTGGGGCTTCTATACATCGCCACTTCACATGTTCAAACCATCTCAATTTCACTTCTCTCATCTTATCCACCACAAAGGACACTTGCATCTTATTTAGATAACCTCATTCCTAATCAAATCACTCCTAGTATGACCACATATTCGTCTTAGTATCTTAATCTCTAGATTATGCATCTTCTGAATATGGGAGTTCTTAACTGGCCAATACTATCTTCCATACAACAACTTCAGTCTAACCACCACGTTGCAAAACTTATTTTCATGTTTTGGTTGTACCTTTTATAATGCAAAACTCTAAAGACAATCCATCACTTCATCCACCCCGCATTAAGATGATGTGGATTATAAAATTGAAGTAATTGAAATTATCTTTCTTGAAGAAAGATTATGCGTCGAAGCTCACTTCCATACCGGCCTCATATATAGGCATCACAAAATTTGCACTTCATTACTCTATTTTTTGTTCCTCCTTAACCTGAAACTCTTGAACTTCAAAATTTGCCTCCACACTTTCATCCAAAATTTGACTCCACTACAAGTCTCATCAATTAGTATTTTATCATCTACAAATGATATACACTGGGGCACATCTTCTTAAATATATCGTGTTAAGATCCATCACTATGACCAAAAAAAAAAAGAGTTATCCCAAGTAGGAAGTAGTCCGACTCCCATCCACTGTGCTCACCCAAGTTTTAGCTCCATCATGCATGTCATGTATCTGTCATGTATCTTTCTTATGTAAGTTATTGATATACCTCTATCCTCCCGAGATCTCCACAGGACTTCCCTCAATTCTTCAGGGCTTTGTCATAAGCTTTTTCAATGTCAGTGAACACTATATATAAATTTCTATTCTTTTTTCGATATCTTCCCACCCTTATCTCAAAAGATAGATATATTTTCTAGTCGATCGTCCGGCATGAATCTAAACTGATTCTCAGAGACGGACAAGCTCACTCCTGTTCAAGGGTGTTACATATATATATCTTTTGTGGAGGAAGCTAATCAAGGGTGTTACATGCTTATAGAAAAAATAAAAAATTGAAAATATAATTGACTTTTATAATCACCCAAAACTCACTCATTAACTAGGAAAATAACATACACAAGCATTTATGACAACAAGAAATGGTGAATTCAAGATTTACAAGTCTATAAATGAAATTTAATAAGAGATTGATGTACAAATAATAACTATGATAATAATGAATTCAAGATTTACAAGTCTATAAATGAAATGTAATAAGAGATTGATGTACAAATAATAACTATGATAATAAGTATTATATCCATTTAATCTATTATAAAGGGAAATCACACAAAGTTGAATTGTATCAAAATATTTAAGGTTATAACTTTATCATATATACTTTTAGAAATGTTACCTTTATATTCATAAAACGTCAGAAAATCAGTCATCTTTTTGGTAAACTCTTTGTCGTTATCCACCAGCATCACATGAACATGTTCAATCTTTCCATAGTAAGGAGAAGACATTGGATTGTTTATCCCTTCCATAGTTTGAAAACTTTTTGCGGCGAACTTAACAAGGATATAAGAAAGTAATTTGATGTATAAAATTAGGTTAAATTTGTAGAGAAACCCTTAAACTCTTTTGATAGGTGTTTATATAGTACCTCTACCGGTTGATGGACGTGCCTAGTATTTGACCATACAAATAAATTTTATTTGACCTATTTGATTTTTTTCTTTCTTGAGTCTACCATACTTTTGTCCTTTTTTTTCTTTTCCTTCCACGAATTTTATATGGAGCGCAATTTTTTTTTGATAAAATCATTTTTCATTAAAATCATTTTTCTAAAAAAAGTTTTTAATTATAAGAAAATACTTATGGCTTATGCGACTTATGATTTACTAGTGAGTACTCAATTTCAATTAAAATGTATAACAATTACCATTTTTACTTTATCTCAATATTATTTCAATCAGTACTTGCATATTATTATCATCATTATAATTCAAAAAAATCATAAAATCATTATCTCCTTTTATCATATCCACCGTATTGCATCATGACCAACTAAACAATAATATTTTAAAGAATTTTTATATATATATATATATATATATATATATATACATATATAATAAGACATCGACATTTTTTTTACCTCTACTAATAGGCAATACTATTAGTAAGTAACCGAACATTTAGATGAATATTGCTTAACTTTTTTTTCTTCAATATTCTTCTTTTCTGTTTATTATTTATATGTGACTTAGTTAAGATTATTCATATAATAATGTTAATACTAACATATTTGAAGCATATAAACTCCACTAAGATATTAAGTTATCCTGAGATAAAATTACGTAATTACACAATTTAAGATAATATAATTTCTAAAAATTTCTATCATTTAAATTAATTACAAAAAATCAAGTTTTGCTTCCCTCTTAACGTCCGGATGTATCAATCCATTTATATATGATACGTTAAAATTTTATTTGTGAATAATGTACATGATACAAATGTTATTGTTGATACATAACCTCAATTATTTCGAACCTAAAGATGGTTTTAGTTATTTATCTAATACAGAACTCATATATATGACATAGAACTTGTATATTCTTTGCTATATATCAAGCAAAGATGTAATGCATTCGCGAGTTTTAAAAAATTTAAAAACTTTGAAATATAATATATTAACATCCAAAATTTTAAAATTGATGTAATTTATACAAACAAAAATTATTGCTACGAGAAATACAAATTGTACTTATATAGTAGTTTAATTTGATTGTTAAATTATCACGACGAAGTATCAAACTTAAAATTTATTAATATGTCTTTTTACATATTGTATACTATGTTCAATTTGCATCCAATTTTTTTTTTATAAATAAGATAAAATATAGAGATCAATTTTCTATATTATTTAATTATCTCTTTATTTCAATCTTTTGTCTCTTTAATTTTTAATTTTTAATTTCAATCGTATTTACCCGCTCCCCCCACCCCCAAACATTTTTTTTTACATATTATCTCACTCTTATTAATTTGTTGACATGTCGAATTCCCTTAGGCGTGTAAGAAGAGAAAATAAAACATCAAAGCTGAAGATAAGTACTGATGTGAGTCCAAATCAGCTATAATTAATCCCTAATGGTATAATCTCAATCTCTCCCAAAATCAAACTCTCTTTTTTATCCTTTTTTCTCAATTTTCAATTGTATATTCCTTCATTCTCTCCCAAATCAGCTTAAAACTTGAATTTACTTGTCAAAACATTCAATTGTAGTTTCAATTTCGAAAAAGCTTGAAGCTTTTAGGGCTTATAATTTCTTTGATTTCATAGTTAGGGTTAAAAAATTGTTCTTCAAATTTATGGTTTTTTGCTTTATCAGAAGAAATAATGGCAAATGCGGACTTGAATAAGCTTCCATAGTTAGGGTTCAAAAATTATTCTTGTAACCATAGTAATTCGTCGTTATAGAAAAGTAAACGAAGGGAAATTTTGGGTCGGAATTTTTTTCGTAGTATTTGAATTTTTTTCAACCTAATTCAGATTTGAACGAAATCGGAGTCTTTGAGGTGTGGAAAAATTTGATAACAATAAGGTGAAGGATTTATGATTTTGATTGCATGAAGAGTTAGATAACTCGTTAAAGAATTTGTATGACTTTACGGAACTGATTCGGACGTGTAGAACTCCGAAAATTGATCTTAGTGTGGAAGGTACGTATTTTCTAATCGTGATTTAGATGTGTGTTGTGAAATGGGTATTTTGGAATTCTTGAGATAACTCTCTATCTCCGGAATCCCGCCTTGGAGGGCGTTTTTGCCGCTGTGGCGGATGAGACGCGACTTAATGTCATTAATATACCTCTAAACGACCTTATTTGATACTTTTCAAGTTTTTGAGCTAAGGAACGGACCCTAAACAACTACTATTCGTTTTTCACTATTCTTGAGGCTAAAGGTAAGCTTTCACTTCCCGAATCCATTTTTTGATCCGTAGAACGTAATAGAATGAGTTAATATTGATAGGGAATGATTTTGTTATAGATTCTGTGGTGGAAACAACCCTAGATTGGATGATTGAGATCATGGGTTTGATCTAAGCTTAATAGAATTGTTAGTAATCCGGGTGAGTAGTGATTGTTTATTGATTCTCATATTATATCAATTGTTTGTAGACCAAGAACAAGCGGAGCGAATCCGGAAAGGAAACAACTTTCTTAAGGTTTCAAGCTTGTTTCGAGGTTGGTGATGATTGTGATTCTATGATTATGTGATATATTCTTGTTATTGCTTCATTGTGATGCATGTATGTATGTGAATGTTGATTGTTGCTTCAGACTTGTTGTAAATGAGATAGACGAATGATTATATGTCACGAATCACTCTTAATTGTATGGCTTGAAAGTATACTTGTGTTTGTGATTGTGGTGTTGATGAATCAGATTGCCATGCTTCAACATAACTAATTGGATCGGATTGCCACGTTCTCACATAACTATAGGATCGAATACCACGATTCGTTGTACTAACAGTTTGGGTTTGAGTTTCATGAGAGGACCAACTACTTGTTATTAATGTGTATTATTGAAAGCATGCGATGTTCAATGTTGTAATTGTTCGTTATAATGCATGACTATATTATTGTAATTAACTTGCTTATGTTGCACTTAGTGGGATAGCCGCTGATCCTACCAATACAGGGTGGTTGTGTACTGATACTGCATTTGCTCTTATTTTGTTGTGTACACGACATCTTTCGACTGCTATTGACAGACCTCATTTAGAAGATTTATGATCGTTGCGTTCGAATTCAAGGGTGAGCTAGCATCTTTTGGACTGCTTTGGATTCTCTTCGGGTCTATGTCCACATTTTGGACTTAGACTAGTTTGTAGATGTTTTATGTTAGTTGGGATTATGACCTTCTTATTTAGACTTAGTTATCGTTAAATAATTTTAGTACATTGATTTTCATCATTTACTTCCACATATATTTAGTTAGTTCATTGGAATCCTTATTGAAGTTTATGAAAACTTCATATTTAGTTTATTTAATTTGCTTTCGTGACTTAAATGTCTTAATTTTTAAATTAATTGCTTTAGTCTGAATCGTAATAATGATTCTCCTATTGAAATATTAATATGGATGTCAATCACGATAATCGAGATTGTAATAGTTCTTCAAATTCAATTAGAACGAAATCAAATATTATGAAAGAGAATGAGGCTGAATATGGAGTGATCGAAAAAATGTTAATGTATATATAGAGAAATAAAGATGAAAATGAGAGAAATTTTAGAGTTATGGGTCCATTCAATACCTGGCAGTGTGTGTAATTAAAACATTTCATTATATCTAGTTTATGTTGACATGTCAGCTAATAAAGGTGAGATAATCTGTAAAAAAACGTTTAGGGTAATATTACTCCCCGTAAAATATTAATGTTTAGTTAGAAATCCGGCTATAAATTAAGGGCTTTTGGCCATTTTCTTATATTTCACTACACTAAAGTAATAAAATTAATTTATTTTTATTTTACATGAATATTTTTCAATTTAAATGATAAAGTACTATTTTTAATATTCTTCGTTTAAAAAAGAATGTCTCTATTTTAGTTTATTTCAAAAAGAATGATCACTTTTTTTTTGGTAATATTTTAACTTTTCACCTGACATATTTAAGATCACAAAATTAAAGGACATTGTGATATATTTGACATAATTTTAATATATTTAATTTAGAACCATAAATTAAATTCTTTCTTTTCTTAAATTCTGTTTCAAGTCAAACGTCTTTTTTGAAACCGAGGGAGTAATATTTATTTAGTTAATGTACAATTTTACAATTACTGCATTAATACAGCACATTGACACGTAGCCTTCAAGTTCAGTTGAGGGCAATTCTTCCCTGTTCCTCATCCCTTCAGTGTACAGTACTCAATTTTTACAATTTATCAAATCCTGGCCGTTTATTTGGAAAAGATCAGCATGGACGGCCCAGATATCTCACAGCTATCCTCAATCGTGCGTCCCACCATGGTATATATTTCTACTCCTCTTCACCTTTTATAGATCTCGCCGGTTACCCTCTTCCGTTACAGTTTACCGGAGAGGTACAATTCTAATTTTCCGATCAAGACTTTGTCGGAGACGGAACACTGGAAATACTTCGATCGGTACCTATATATGTAATAATCACCGATTCTCCATTATGCTTATTATATTGTATATCTTCACCAATGCATGTCGGAGTGTTAGGGTTATGTTTTTAGACCATTTCTGTTGGATTATCAATGTTTCATTTATTAAACGTCTCAGTGAACTGATGTGTGTTGAATTGAAAATGTTTAACATTTTGTTTGGTTTCTGAGAAATTGATGCAGAACTGTATGAGCATTGGTTGCAAACTAGAGATATAATTGTAGTTTGATCGTAAAGTAGATTGGAAAAGCTTAATGAATCTTAGCCAAGTGAATTGAGTGTATATCTGGTTTTCTTAATGTTAGTGCAGTGCAGTTGCAATGAGTGGTTGGCTATGTGAAAGTTGTTTAGTACTCTGACAAGCTCGTGTAGAGAGTAAAAGTGAATAAGATAGTTTTGTCAAGCTTTGTGAGTTTCTATTACATCGAGAATCAATACGCAACGTTTCGTTGCTATTAGGAACTAGGAGGAATCAAATTGCTAGGAATGAACTCACACTGAAGTGGCTATATTGGTCAACTGCATTCTGCTTGTGTTCGACTATAGTTGTTAAAATTCTTTTATCTATTTATGGAACATCTAAATTATAGGATACCTGGTTCAACGCGCTTGTGCATTATAGAGAAACTGATACCATGTTTGGTTGTCAGTATGAATATTTCCAACTTTTAGTGATCCATTTCGTCTTTCATCCTTCCTTATGAATTGACTGCAATTCATAATTGGAATTTGATGTCATTTTAGGTCGAACGAATGTCAGGTAACAATACGAGAGACAAGAATTGGGTTGGTCTATTCTATTTGGAGCAACTCATGTTTTAATCCCTTCTCCACATACTTGCTTGACTACATAAATTTTTATCAAATTAGTCTCAAGAAGTATCATCAGATTATATCAATTATAAACTTGGAACTCCCATTGTCAAATCATAATGTTCATAATTTCCTAATAGTAAAAAAATTCTTAACATTCAAAATTCTTCTCTTTAACATGCTTCGGTTGGTCATATCAAAGTTTAGATGGAACTTTTGTCGTCAAAAAAAAAGTTTGGATGGAATTAGAACTAATATCTTCTCTTTTTTTGGGTGGGGTCAGGGTGGGGGTGGGTGGGGTGTGTGTGTGAATTTTAAGCACTATATCAAGACCTTCCAAGCATAATACCACATTCTTGGAATTTCAGTCTCCTGCAGCTGATGAACAGAGTACGATTTTAGGAAGAAAGATATGATTCGAAAAATTAAATCTGGAGTAGATACATGATAACTCAGTGTTATTGTTTACGACTTGTCTCAAACAGATGTTGACCTACATTGAATAGTTGATACATGATAAACTAGTATTACAATTTACAATGTCTCAAACATGGAAAGGTAGATTGACAAGCTAGTATTATAGTTTACAACTTGTCTCAATCTTAGAGAGGTAGATAATTGATAAGCTAGTAGTATTCAGACTGTTTTTATGATTTATTGTTGGTCCAACAAATTTCTGAATTACGTTCTGGGCTCTTTATACTTTTCTTATTGGTCAAGTCAATTTTGTTAGTTTTGCTAAATTTTCTCTCTTATATCTTTAATCTCAAATAGAACTTGAATAAGAAAAGGAATGTTGTAGGATGTCATACACTTCGGGAAAAAGAAGTGAATGACTATTCACGATTGATTTACCTTACATTTCCCCTTTAGTAACTAGCTTAGAGTTTCGACAAAAATTCTCTCCCCGGTAAAATCTCAAATCACAATCTTTTTTGTTGTAATCTTTGTAGATCTTGCAGTTCTGAGTGGCCAAGTGAATCCACAGGAAATGGCTTATGATAACTCATCCACGCTTGAGCCCAAACGTTCCCATCAATGGTTCATGGATGGCATCGAGCCTGAATTGCTTCCCAACAAGAAGCAAGCCATTGAAGTACCTAATCACAGTTCATTCTCTGGACTTTTAAGTTCCAATATTGCCCCCTGGATGAACACTCCAGGTTTCCACTCAGTATCAGGCCAATATGCAGAAAGACAGTTTGACAATGACAGCGCTAGATCGCTCAGCTTTGATGACAACAGTGTTCCATCCGTTGGCATAGGCAACATGAATATGTCTAGAAAGGTGATGGAAGATCCATTTGGAAGTGATTCCTCATTTGGTTTATCCATATCCCATACACTGGAGGATCATAAATCAGGTCTTAACTATAGTGGTATCAGAAAGGTCAAAGTCAGCCAGGTGAAGGAGGCTGAGAATTTCACGCCTGTGTCAATGGGTGATATCTATACCAGAGGGATCAGCAATGCAATGCCAACAGATCATGCTTTTAGTAAGGCTGAGGATAATTGCATAGCTATGGGACTCTCTTTCAATGGAGGTGATGAGCATCTGATGTCATTAGGTGACACATTTAATAGGGAAGAGAACAGTTTCATATCTATGGGTCAACCTTTTAACAAGGTGGATAGCAATGAAATATCACTGGGTCACAGCTTCAACGAGAGCAGCTCACTGTCAATGAGTCACCCTTTTTGTAAAGATGAAAGCAATATTATTATGCTGAATCAAAGTTTTAGCAGAGAGGATGATAGCACAATATCAGTGAGTCACTCATTCAATGACAATAATACTGCCATATCAATGGGTCAGCAATTCGGTAATGATGATAGCAATATTACATCAGTTGGACAAACTATTAATACGATGGCTGACACCAATCCACCTATTAGCCACTGCTACAGCAAAGTCAATGACAATGCCATATCAGTGAGTCAGACCTATAGCAAAGTGGAAAACAATAATTTGTCAATGAGCCAATCTTTTGGCAATGGAGAAAGCAATATCATATCCTTTGGTGGATTCAATGACGATGACGATATAAATTCTTCTGGAAGGCTGATTTGCAGTTATGACTTATTAATGAGTCAGTCTTCAGGCCAAAAATCAGATATTGTGACTGGAAAGCGATTGGTTGAGTCAAATGCGGATACAGTTACAACTGTTGCTCAAATGGCTGGCAGTAAGGAATTTATTTCCAAAAAGGAGGAGCAGAAAGCAACTAAAAAGCCTCCTTCGAACAGTTTCCCTTCAAATGTGAGAAGCTTGCTCTCAACTGGTATGTTAGATGGAGTACCTGTCAAGTATATAGCTTGGTCCAGAGAGGTAAACTTTAAATTATATGAGTTTTATTTTTGCAACTGTGATGATCACTAGATGACATCGTTCTTCCTTTGAATGGTAGAAGGAGCTCCGTGGTATTATAAAAGGCTCTGGTTACCTCTGTGGCTGTCAGTCATGTAATTTTTCCAAGGTACATTTAATACCAGTTTTCATTATTGCTGGACCAGCTTGTTGCACAATTTACTGATCAGATGTGATATAACTTCCACGTGTAGGCAATTAACGCTTATGAGTTTGAGCGACATGCTGGTTGTAAGACAAAACACCCTAATAATCATATATACTTTGAGAATGGGAAGACGATCTACGGAATTGTTCAGGAGCTCAGGAACACACCTCAGGATTTACTATTTGAAGTTATTCAGACAATTACTGGATCATCCATTAACCAAAAATCATTTCGCATCTGGAAAGGTGTTTTAATTAACTGAGCTGTTAATATTCTTGAATGTTTACTTTTTTCTCATGTTGGCATCTTTTCTTATGTCTTCAGAATCTTTTCTAGCTGCGACACGTGAACTTCAGCGTATATATGGGAAGGATGAGGTCAGACGACTGTCATAAAGAGGAATCCATATGCATGGTATGATGCAAAAACTTGTCTACATCTTCATACCGTATAATAGAAGTATGTACTCTTTATTACTTTGTGGTCCTATAAATAATGGCTGTCCAGAATGGTTTTTTTTGGGACGCCATTGACAGGAACTACAGGAAGAATTCATGATACTAATGCTTCACAACGTGTATTAACTCTCCTGAAACCTGTATATTAAAGCCAGAACAAGCTCATTCATACATTACGAACTTAAAGAGTTCAGAGAGAAGTTTCACCAAATTGATTTGTCATGTCCACGGAAGCTATAAATTTTGTGGGGAAAGTTGGAAGTGGTTCCAAGGCAGTGACTGCGAAGGAGACATACCGGCAGTAAGATTTTCACCTAATTGGAAGTGGTTGAGTCATTAGAGATATACAATTTGTTGAAAAGAGACTATAACATCTGTTAAGTGCTTAAAATGCTAACTTTAAACTACTAAGTCGACAATGCTTATGAAAGTGATTAAAGACATTTGTGATAGATGGGATGCTTATGATTTTAGTTTCTTAGTTGGAAAAATAGACAAAGATCTCTGCATATGTTTCAGGTTCACGTTTTCTGCATGCATCAACATTTATTATATCTTCACCCTAACCATATTTGAAAAGCAAGGAAAATAAGAAAATTATACTTGTCTTAGAAAGAAAAAGTTGTGCAGAGAAAGAGAGAAGAAAACAAAAAAAATACGTAAGGTTAGCTAGAGACATGTTCAATATAAATGGTGTTTCCTCCGTTATAAAAAATAAATAAAAAATTGGTACTTCATTTCAATTCAAATGACATAGTATGAATCAAGATAAAATTTAACTTAAAATCGGAGATGTTTGAAACTTGTGTTGCTATAAAAGCTTTTCATTAATGGCAAAATGAGAAGTTAACTGCTAGATATTTCCAAATATAAAAATGTGTCATTCTTTTCCTAACATATATGGATTAACAAGGAAATACTGTCACATAAGATTTTATCTGAAGGAGTAGATCTGTCCTTTAAAAAAAAAAAATTGTCAAAACTGTAGTACACCACTACATAGATAGCATGCTTAGGCTAAGACCACATAAACTATCAATTATAAAGAAGTACACTTAGAGATAGCAAAACTTTTGAACTTAGCGGAAAGAATCAATTAAGCTAGGACAAAGTAAACAAAGGATAGCTGGTGACGAGATAAGGATAAGCGCATAAATGTGGAACATAAAGGTTTAGGCAAGTGCATGTACACATTGAAGTATAAAATAAAAATACCTTTTCTTTTCGTATTGAATGATACTCCTTCCTTCCATTTATTTGACATGGAATTTGAAAATGCTAGTTTAATGTGCATATCATATTGGAAGGAGTTAAAGAAAATGATAAAATAGAAGTTGTGAAGTAATTTTAATGAAGCGAAATGAGTATTGAGGATTATATAGTTGACCCCAATAGGTTGGTTTGAAGTGTAATAGTTGTTTCTTTGTAAGTCAAAGATTTAGTTTTATAGGGGAGGTATGACATTAAATTTATGGTACATTAGTTCATTTATTTGAAATCTTCAATTTGGTGAATATGTTATGGGTTATCAGATATTAGAACTGAGTCAGTTTTTTGAGACGTCCAAACATGAATGTTTGTAGCATATAATATATTGACTAGTAATATACTACTCATTTTTGTAATGATAAAAGTGAGACTAAGATTACCTGTTAGTGCTTGAAATATGGCGGCTGCTAAATGGTGGAAGCTTCAATCTTCAAATTGCTATGTTCTGTTTCAAGGGTACTTACCAATTGTAAAAAAAAAAAATTGTTTCAAGTGAGTATCAATAGTATGCCTTTGAATTTTGAATAATTCCTCATTTCAGCTTGCTCAACAATTTAATACATAATTTGATGATCTATGTGCTCGTTCCAGTAACAAACAGTGATATCTGGAAGTGATGAAATGACTTTCTCTTGTTAAGCATGTCAAATACTAGTTTAGTTTCATGGCTCTCTAGTAACCTGAAGGTAAAAAAATGGTAAGGAGCCGAAATTAAGCAAGTTTCAGACTTTATCTTAGCATCTCTGTTGCAGTCATTTTAGTCTGACCCATACAGAGGAATAACTGTTAAGATTAACTGGTTCAAACTTTTCAAACACTGATCTTTTAACACAGGAAATATTTCCAGATAGAACTTTAGATTGTAGATCTGAAGTTAAAGAACCAACTTATCCACATGTCTGGGCATGATTATTGTTGTTACTATAATTTATTATACATGGTTTAATATCGATTAAAAACCAAAAGAAAAGGCCTATAGGCTTAACATAGTTTAGTCATTCTATAGTTCAGAAAGAAGTTCCCAAAAATGGTGGTTTAACTGGCTTAAATTTGGCCACACGCTGTAAACCATCTTTAACTAATAATTACTAATTCAAGATGCAGCTGAAGAGGAGCTCATTTCTTAGATGAAGAGGCTGCTCTATAGCCAGACCTCCTTTTGGAATTTGGAAGACAAAGCCTCAAATAGAAAATCATTATATGCCTTCATCTTCGGTAGCAGTTGTTCCTTTCGATGAATTGATGTGGGTAACTGTCTGACTAAAAGGTTCCTTGTCAATTTTGGTTTCATGTGTTGGTATTGCTTGTTCATCGATTGATGGAGATTTGTGATCCTTACTTTTACCCCATAGGACAATGTAAAGTCCAACAACAATCACAACAGCACCGAGTACCCTGCAAAAGTCATTACATTAGAGTTTGGTGTTGGTTGTAACTTATAAGAGCTTTAGCGTTATTAGTATTACCTTCCCAGGTTCAGTTGTTCACGTAGAATAATTGTACTCAATACAGCTACAATAACCATGCTTAATGGATTGAAAGCTGTGACAAAAACAGGGCCCCTGTCTTTCATTATGACTCCTTGAATATAATACGCGAGTCCTGAACAGAATATTCCCTGGATTGTGACATGACAAGTGAGAAGCTTTTTTTTTTTTTTTAAATTGACAAGTGAGAAGCTTTTAATTGGCTTAAATTTATGAGTTATTGGTGAAACTATGCTTCTAGATTTCCCCCCCCCCCCCCTCACTTCCCTCATGTTGCAGAAGTAAGTTGCTTGCTACGTTGGTTTGGGAACATTGATCTTAAAATTAATGTCTTTAAATTTGGAGAAGCATTGGCTGCTTTCAGATGACATGTTCTGTCACCCATACTAGTACAGAACTGGGCAATTTGGTGCATATGTTGGAATAACATCTAAAGAATAAATACTTCTAAAACTCTTTGTATGCTCGTGTTCTAAGAAAATTTAACCACATCAGGTTTAGTGCATAAGTTTTTTTTTAAATCAAGTAAAAGATTTCAATTATAATAACAAGGCCATATGGCTGTATACAAGAGGCATGCAAAAAGGGGAGATCTACAAAATATGGTTCACTTACACTGTATACAGCTGCAAGAAACTTAGAGTCCCAGTTTATGGCCCACACTGCAGGTTTTCCTCTCTCCATTACCATTGCTACTATGGCTCCCTCAGTTGTTCCCAACAAGCATATCCAAGCAGTGAGCGAGAGCTCAGCGGGATAAGTCCGCAGTGTGATTGCCTGGGAGTAGGGTGCTAGAGTCAGATATAATGCTTGTTAGTTGTAATTACTTATTTCTTCTAACTAAGTTCTGTCTTTACCTGCAAAATCATGAATGCAGCCCAACTGAAGCACCCAATTGTTATCATGATGGAACCTTTGATAGCATGGCTTAGATTTAACCCACCACTTTGAGAGTTATGACCGGCATTTCCTGTTGTCCAAAATAGTTCAACTATTGGACCTCGTACCAGTGTCATGATCATGGCTCCTGCCACTGTGGCAACAGTCCCAACTATTTTGGCTTGGCTGCGGATGCTTGTAAGCTTCACCTTCTCAAGCCTAGAATAAACAATATATGTGCCAAAAGAATAACATCATGATTTGGGAATTGTCCTTTTGTCAAAAAATCCATGTTGGGAATTTCTTATTAATTCATATTTGCTAGTGATCATGTGTATTTATATCTGTACAATGACACAAAACATATTATTTACCTGAATATCCAGGCCATTATAAAAGTAATGGCAGGAAGAATGTTGCACATTGCAGCTGCAAACGTTGCTGTTGTGTATTTCAGGCCAATAGAGTAGAGATTCTGGTCGATGACAGGCCTGTTGGTCAAGAGAAACATGCTTATGTTAGATACTGATTGCATGGAGAAAAAGTGAATTTGAGTGTTTTAAGACTTACTCCAGTAAGCTAAGAAGTACCAACTTAGCAAATATTGAGGGGGTCATCTTTGGTCTTACTTTCCTGTTAAGAAATATTCAGTTTGCCATCATTTTCTCTAGGGGAAATTATAAGAAACACTTTTTGTATGTCTTTCTTCCACTGAGAAATAGACTAGAGTTGATGTTGCAAACACGTTAATTGAAAACGGAGAGGGAGGGAGAGACATACTTGTCTAGAATTATTGCAAAAGGAGCAATAACCAAAGTGGCAACTGCATGGCGGTACACAACAAATACATAGTTACTCATTCCTTCATTCAAGGCCACTTTGGTGAGAATATCCATGCCTGCTAGCCCAAATTGGAGAAAAATGACTGCAAGAAAGGGTTTGGCTCTGTTGTAGAGTTCACGTACTGCCTCCATTGTGTACTTTCAACAAAGCTCAACCTCTTTGAAAGCACTACTATTGCAAGGTCACAAGTGCAGCATAAGTAACTGCTGCTTTTCTGTATATATAGACAAGTCCTTCACACTATTTTCGTTCTCTTTACCCATTATGTGATCAGCAGATGAGGACAAAATCTGTTGGATTTCATTTGTGTATATAATTTGTTTAATTAATTACTCGGTAAGCCTTCCACTTTTTAAAATGAAGTGGCCTAGTCATCCGGACCTACTCATCACTTGCTTCTAGGAAAAGTAAACTGGGAGTGAGTACACTTTTATTTTGTTGCAACTTTCTGTAAGTTGTCTGCTTTGGATGAGCTCAAATGTTCTTGAATTGATTTAATACTTCCTTGTATATCTTAATATTTGTATATTAAAGTTCCCTGTCTATGCTCATACTCATGGATATTAATTTCTTGCAGAAACTTCTATGGTTATGTAAATGACAGATTGACAACCAAGGTGCGTGGGTTGCCTCCTTAAAGAAACTGTGTTTTCTCTTTTGTTATTGGTCCTCATAGTTGATCACTCTATAATTGCGTTGATCCTTGGTAATAATTCTTGTCAAATAGTTATGGCTGTAAATTATATCTTTCCTTTGGTTCTAAATTTTGATGTAAATTAGTACATAAGTTTTTGCATGCCGGTTAATTCGATGAGAATCTGTGTGTTAGAAAATTCCCTAGCTAAGTGGTGTGAGTTGGCAAGTTTTATAGCTAGACCATGAGTATCCTACTGCTCTTTCCGTTGGCATTGCACCAAACTTGCCACTTCTGAATTGAATATTCTTGTGGGTTTTAAAGTATTTTAAAGTTTGATACGTTGCTGTGGGCAAAAATTTTGTTCCAAATGCCCAGGTTAGGCACATGAATATTATGAGGTACATCATCTTAAAGTTAAAAACGGTTCCATTAAATATTCACAGCCCACCTTGTCTTATTTAAAATTAGTGTTGTGTTTGATGCATCTATAATGATCTCTTAGAAAACATAATCAATGTGGTTAGACCAATCACATTGCCTATATCTTTTGCATAAAAAAGCATAGTAGGTTAAGTGATTACGTGCCAAATTGCCAACTTTTTCTATGTTGCATGCTGTGTTGGTAACCTTTTCCATATTATGATTTTATATTATGTATAGAATGATTACAGGGAATCAAAAGATTGTATAGGGGTAGCTAGTATAGAATCTTCTTTATGAAAGAAATATTTATGTATATACACCTTAGTGCTCTCTTACGTCCCACTTGAAAAATCATTGTTCCCATCATCGACTGTGATATTGTCATCCAGATTAACCACTTGAGTCTGTTTTTTACATTATTGTCAACTTTATAATTGATTGACATGGATTGGAGCACCATAATGTGATCTATTGGCTCATCAAGCTAATTGTAAATAGGTTATTAGCTTTAAGCTCTGGACCATATTCTTAAATGTTTGAAATTGATTTATAAATAAGCACATGTGTATAGTTACAGTTGCTGAAACTTAAAAGTAAGTAGCTAGTGTGTGGTAAAATAGTGTCCGATAAGTTGTTCTTTTGTTAATATGATTAAAATGTTTCATCATAAAATAAGAATTTTTGATAGTATTTTTTGTAAAGAAGAGGAATGATGAATGTGAGGGTGGAGAGGGTATTTTGAGGGGGGAAAAGGTTAAAATAATGAAAAGGTCAATTTAAAAGTGTTTGTAAGTTGAAAAAGTTGTAAATTGAGAATGATCAACAACTACAGTATATTAGGATCGTTTGGTTGGGGATAAGTTATCCAGGGGTTAGCTATCATGGGATAACTTATCTCATCATATGTATGGGATAATTTATCTCTATCACTATAGTATAAATGGTGGGATAAGTTATCTTAAACATGACAACCAAACAAGATACAAAAACTTTATTTTGTCTCTATTTGTTTCTAGCCCTCACATAAGACGACCCTTGTCTCTACCTCATGGAGGTAGCAAGGCCATTTTTAAAGACTTTCAGCTTAAGTGTAAGCAAATTAAAGTATACATAAAAGGGATCCAACAATGAAAGAAAAATATGTCAAATAATAAGGGAAAGTAGTAAAAAGCGACCAGGGCAAAAAAAAAAAAGTGATATGGTAACTAACAAGAAAATATATGCATGAGACTAATACGATGACAAAAATATGGTAACTAAAAAGAAAATATATGCATATGGCTAATATGATGGTAGACACGGTCCTCTCAAGCTCTCACAAGGTATAAACAAGTTGAAACCCACCATATTAACCTCTCACGCCTTCTTACTTGGCTTTTGAGCATCTCTTCACATACATCTCAGCTTCGGTTCCCTTTACTCATCTATGGTTCTCTTTCCTCTATCTTGTCCACCATAGAGGTCATTCACATTTGTTTTGGATATTATCGTTTTTTTTTATCTTATTTCTCCACATGACCATGTATCCATCTGAATGTTCTCGTTTTGCAACTTTCATCTTTTGAAAAATGAAGTTATTGACTAGTCAATATTTTGCCTTATAAATAAAGTTGGTTTGACCACCGTTTTTTGGAACTAAACTTTTTTTTTTACACAAGACTTCATGGTTGAACCTCAATTCATCCTGCATCAATATGACGTGTGACATCATATTGATTTCTCTATTTCATTGGACTAAAGATCTAAGATATTTGAAATTTACCCTTAGAATGATATATGTATCAAATCTCACTTCAACACGTACCTTGATGCATCAGTAAACTTGTACTTCAAGTACTTTGTTTTTAGTCTTGCTCAACCTGAACCATTTAGGTAAGGTTTATTTTTAGGCTTTCAACCTAGCGTTAACTTCACATGAGACTCATCAATCAGTACTATATCGTCCATAAATAATATACACTATGACACCTTACCTTATATATGAAGTGTCCATTCATTTGGGTTGTGTATCGGTCGGTTCGATTTTGAAGTCTTTTGGTTTGGCTTATCGGTTATCGTTTGTAGATGTGCTAAACCATTATTGAATCACTAAGATATTGACTTATCAGTTTATTGGTTTTTGGTTGTTATCAGTTCTGTTGTCGGTTTAGCCGTTAAGATTTGACCCAAAAAAAACATTAAAAATCTTTTAGAAACAAGGTGACAAGTCAAATGAACCACGCACATGAGTTTGCAAGTTACATCTTAATCAAAAGCAAACAATTTTACATTGTAGAATAACCAAGTATTTGAAACAACCAGAAATAAAAGTAGGAAACCAAACTCTTAGTCAAGGATTTTATATACAATATGGTATAAATATAATTACTCCCTCCGTTTAAAAAAGAATGACCTCATTTCTTTTTTAGTATGTTTCAAAAAGAATGACCTCTTCCTTTTTTTGGTAACATTTTAATTTCAGCTTTCCACGTGCATGTTTAACGCCACAAGATCAAAGGACAATGTTTGGTATGGAGAAAAATGTTTTTCATGGAAAATGTTTTCCTGGAAAACAAGTAGATTTTGGACTTATTTTCTCATGTTTGGTTGGTGAGTAGAAAATATTTTTCGGAAATGATTTTTCGTGTTTGATTTATGAATGAAAAATGTTTTTGAGAGACATCTTTTATTTTTACTAGAGTAAAAAATAATTTATGAAATTGAAAATATTTTTTAAAAATAAAATAATTATTTTTTGGGGGTGGTGGTGGTTTGGGGGGGGGGGGGGTAGAAGTGAAAAAAAAAAAATTTGATGTTATTAATATTTTTAAAAAACAAAATTAATTTTTTTTCGGGGGGGGGGGGGGTTGGGGTTGGGTGGTTAGGAGTTTAAAAATAAAAATTTGAAGTTAAAAATATTTTAATAAAGCAAAAATTAATTTTTTGGGAGGGGGTGGGGTTGGGGGGGCTGGTGGGTGGGTGGGGAGTCGGGGATTGAGTGAAAAAATAAAATTTTAAAATTGAAAATAGTTTTTTAAAATTGATGGTTTTCCTTAAAAAAAAATGTAATTTGAAATTGGAGGAGAGTTTTGGAAAATATTTTCCTTAATTTTTGAAGGGAAGTCATTTTCCTTAATTTTGAGGAAAATGAGTTGATTTTGAAAACATTTTTCAGAACTTTTGTCCCAATCAAACATGGAAAAATTGGAAAACATTTTCCAAAAAAAATTTTCCGTCATACCAAACACACTCTTGATCTAACTTTAATTTAGGACTAGAAGATTCAAAAGTCTTCTTTTTATTCTTAAATTTTGTGGCAAGTCAAACTAGGTCATTTTTTGTGAAACGAAGGGAGTATTTAATTTACTATCGGGTTATCAATTAACTCGTTAAGAAAAAATCTCAAACCCTTAAGAACCAATAAGTCGATTAAAAAAAGTCAAAACCTTTATTAAAATCACTAAATCAATTACCCAATACTGATAAATCAATAAAAAATATTCAGTTTGGGTTATCGATTTCGATTCAATTTTGAACAATCCTATAAAAATGGGCTAACCGTTGGTCTCTGGTGCATTGGGAAGTATATTGAGTATCTTTCACTATAGTGAAACTTCAATAAATTAATACTCAGTCAATTAATAATCTTTCTAAGATAATAATTTTCTTCGGTCTCAACTTGGGCCAATGAAAAAAATCACTCATTTCGATAAGATAATACATTTTGAGAAGACCTCTATATAAATATATATGGTCTCATCGATATTATAAATTAATAATACTTTAAAAGTGCAAGTATCTTTAAGAAAATTTAGTGAAATGTGATTCTATGTACTTTTTTTTTTTTTTGGTTGAAATTCAAATTTAGTTGAAACTCATCTTTTAACTTTTCTTATTGCATCCAAAAGTTCTGGTGGTCTTTTCTAATTGCACCATAAAATTGTGAAGAGTTCTAGTTGCAAGTGTTTCTTTACGCGTAACTGGCAATTGGTTTCAAAGGTATTGTATCATCTTCAACCTTATTATCATAATGATATCCACAATTTGTTCTAAATTTTAACCTCTGAAAATATATCATTTTCACCCGTCCAATATGTCATTATTGCAGTAACCGAGATCATTAATCATGTCATCAAGTTCATGAATGACGTATCACAAGTGGGTTCTTTCAAATTCTTTGAGCACCGGATGTCGTATCGCACATGGTGTTCACATCCCCATTACTACCCTGGCCTTGATCCACATCAATTTTTCCTCAGTTTCCCATGTTCAAGCAAGGGTCAAGCCACCACATTTGATCCTCGACCAGTTAAACAAAGTCCTCTTCTCCCTCTTCCTTTTGATCTCCAAGTTCATAGGCAAAAGCTTATGTCAAGTGGTGAGATTCTCACTCGGAATAACCTTGCAGTCCTTTATAAAGGTCTCTAGCCAACTTCCTAAGGAGTATATGATCTATTTGCGTCTTAACCATCACATTACGAAAGATAGTCAGGTCTTTTTTCCAAAAGTTTGAATCATCAATCAACTCAAAAGCTCTAGTGAAATCCAAAAATGACGCAACACCTTCATTTATATCCCCAAAATCAAAGGCTCCATGCACATCGTCAAACCACTAAAAGTTGTCCTGACATGATTATTGAAATCGCATCCCAAAAGCTTCTCGAATGAGTTGGGAATGATCAACTTATGAAAATGATCAATTTATAGCTTTTGGTTGATTTTGACTCATAAGCACTTGATGTGCAAGCACTTTAGCTATTTATCAAATGTGTAAATGTAGATAATTAAGCCAAACACTATCTATTATTATTGAAAAGGTGGTCAAACTTCGAACAAAGTAGCAAGTAAAAGGATGGTCCTTTTGGTGAGTCTCCAATCTCCACATACATAAAGATTGAATTATTGTAAAACCATGAGGTAGCATTGAATTATATGTAAAGCAATATTTATTATCTTTTAAAGAGGACAAAAGAAGATGTGGCTTTGGGATAAAAGCTTAGGTCTTAGTGAAGAATAGAAAAAGGGGAAGGGAGAGAGTGGAAGTAGCGTCTGACTTCAATTGTTTGCCATTATGGGCTGTTGTGTCTTTCATAAGAGATAGAGCTTCCATTATTGCCATGCCACCAACATACATTTTTTTACTTTATGCTTTCATACTAGTATTCCTCCTCCTTGATTGGTTGGTAAATATTATTTTCATTTTGGTATTTACACTACGCATGTGTTTCGTTTGTGGGGGGGGGGGGGGGGATAATTTAGGTAGTGTAACCTTATTCTTACAGAGATGCAGCGTAAGATTGCGTACAATAGATCCTTGTAATTCGGTTCTTCTCTAAATCTCATGCATAGTGAAAATTTAGTGCACCAGACTGCCTTCATGCTATGGAAGGTGAGAGTGGGCAAGGTGCGTGAGGATGGGGGCAAGGGAAAGGGTGGAGTTTAATTTTAAGTACTCCCTCCGTTTCAAAAAGGATGACCTGGTTTGACTTGGAATGGAGTTTAAGAAAAGAAAAAAGACTTTTTAATCTTGTGGTTTTAAAGTAAAGTTATGTCAAATATATCAAAATGTCCTTTAATTTTGTGATCTTAAATATGTCACGTGGAAAAGTAAAGTTAGAGTGTTGTCAAAAAAGAAAAGGGTCATTCTTTTTTAAACAAACTAAGGAAATAAGATAATTCTTTTTTAAACGGAGGGAGTATGTGAAATTGAAATGTTTTGGAAATTTTTTTTTATAAGAAGTACACCCCTAAATTAATTCAACTAATCATTATTAAATGCTAAAGTGAATAAAAATATATACAACCCTTCCTCAGACCAACACCTTGAACAGTTCTCACTTTTCCTTTAGTGGTCTCAACAGTAAAATGTCCTATTAATATTGTTAAAAATATAAAACAAATAGTTGGAAGTATGTTTTTTTAATAGTTTAATTATTATTTTTATCAAATGCCAATGGACACATATACAATCTCTTATCTAATTGCTCCTAGGACTTGGCTCAATTTAGTCACAAAAGTTATTTATTTTTTTTTAGATATATGTTTTGAAGCCATCTGATCCTCCATTTATTATTTTATTTTTGCTTCAAATAATCAAGAAAGGAAATAAATACCTTTTTCTTTTTTTTCTTCTTTTTTTTTTTGGGGCGAGGGGGGGGGGGGGGGGGGGGCTTTTACGTTAAGAAAGTAAACTCTTTTGAGTGTACACAAATCCCAAGCCAAATTTTAGTATTGGCACCAACTATATTACTAAATTGAAATTTGTTTCTTCTTTCTTGTGGGCTTATTAGCTCACTGTTTCAATTTTCCTTATTTAATTTCTATACATTGCTTCTTAATGTTTCTTTTTTCTTTTTGTTTGTATGGTAATTTCATATAGTCACTCATAACAAGCTTGATTAATAACTTTGAAAATTAAATTACGCACATATGTATGTGTATATGTGTGTGTATGTATAGTGAATGATGAATCTTTCTTAATTTCTTCGTATATTTATTCCTTCCTATTTTAAAACATTTTTAGTAAAAATCTTGGGTCGGTTGCTATCTATATCCTTTATTATGTTTCTTATAACTTTTGCAATTATAAAGATTGCCAAAGTTATCTTACTTTGAACCCATAATTATGATGTAGAGAGAACATATTATATCACCTTATCTCCTGCACGCATGATTTGCAAGAACAGCAAAGATTGATGGTCAATCCGTTGAAAAGAAACAAAGAAAAAGTAAAGAATTTAAGTTATACACACTAACGATAAAATATATATATATATATATATTACAAATAATTTTGGTTAACAATAACGACTGATAATATTTATCATAGTGTTTCTATGATTGCTCAGAATATTTTATTTTTTAATAAAATCGTATAGAGTATTCCATGAGTAATCAAAAAGAAAAGGTTGGAGTGGATTGTTGTTGAGGTTGCTTAGAAGGGGCAAAATAGCTAGAATTGAATGTGGAAAATATGAAAAAGTATTCTGTAACGTATTTAATTAGAAAATAGATTATGCTCATGTGAAAATATTTATTCATAATGGAATCTTTAAGTGTTGAATCTCAAGTGTTGTGTGAATTTCATATATCAAAAAATGAGGTGTACTATATCTTAGATATTACAAAATATGTGTAATAGGAATTGCAAATTGGTATACAACTTTGATTTTGGAAGATATTACGTTTAAATTTCGTAGAGTTAGTTGTCTTTAAAATAAAGCCATTAAATCAGTGTGTGCTATAATCAAATACTTCCATTATACTATGAGTGAACCGTTCTTATGAATCGTAAGATATAGGTAAGAGTTCTCATAAATATTTCTAATAATAGAAAAAAATAGAAAGAGGAAAAAATAATTTTACAATTTGAATTTGCTCATATGTCCAGTAGAGAAATTATATTTAATTTAAAATGAATGGTGTAAATTTATCAAATATTAAACACGCTGCTATATTATCAGTGATATGATATATTCGTCAATCAAGTTTATTCTATAATCATAAGCTTATCAATAAGATCCAAATTCTTCCGGTTATAATATACAAGAAATAATAAACTTATGTCACGATATTTTTTTCAATTTATTAATTCTTGATTTTTCATGTCATGATTCTTGAATTGGACTTTATGGGCACATTTTCCCACTATAAAAAATAATAATCCATAAGAAACATATTACAACATTGTTAATGCATATAAATTAAATCCAAAATAAATTAGAGAAGGGCCTATAGAAACTCTTCTTTTGTTTCTTTCTTATTGACTTTTTAATATCAACAATTTTATTTTATTTTGGTTATGTAGAAGGGTTTTGAAGATCTTTGAGTCTCTATATATCCATTTTATCACTTCAATTAATTCTTAGTTTCTTTAGTTGGAAGAACTTTACTAAGAGATAGGAGAGAAAAAAGAGAGCAATGGATTAAATTATATATAAAAAAAAAATATTCCCTTTTTAAATTATTTTTTTAAAAGAAAAGCTCTTTCATCTACATTCTTCTCATATATTAAATTTATTTTTGCTTGGCTAAAGTTCCAAAAGCCATTTTGAAAAAAATAGTAATTTTATTCAACTTTTGCAAATAAGTTGTGTTTATTACTTAATATTTAATAATATACACATACTTTTTCTTTTTAAAAAATTAAACAAACACTTCAATTCCTTAAAATAAACATTTAAAAACAAATAACACTATTTTTTTGGCTTTCCAAAAGTTTGGACAAACATAACATGTTCTTATTTTATATAATATTTTTTTTAAAAAAAAAAAGTATCTCTCTTTCTCTTTATCCAAAAAAAAAAAACTTTTCCCTTTCCTTTTTTTAAAGTCTCTATGATTTGAATATAAAAACAGTAGTAGCCACTAATTTTAGATTAAAAATGATTAAAGTAAGATCATTAGTCAAGATATTGCACTCAGACAGGAAAAGCCAATTATATTATCACTAAATAAACACATATTGGACAAGTGGACTATAAGTTTCCTAATATGTTGATGAATATTCAAAAGATTGTGTTGAGTATGTAAACAAAGTTCAGTTGATGCATAATACAACTTAAGTTAAACTAAAATAGTTTTAATATATCTTAATATTATGAAAATTCTTTAAGACAAATTGTTCCAGTTTAATCCAACCAAATAGTAATAACTGTTGAGCTAAGTAAGGTTGGAGATACTTTATACATTTAAAGATAATGATATTTTATATATTTAAAGATAATGGGCTCAAGCTCTACGAATGATTTTTTTTTTTATGTTAACAGTATCAAATAAGCTGACTGAACGCACGAAAAAATTATGTGAAGTGAAATGAATTGGATCAAATGTACTGCTAAATATTAATTTCTTTATTTGTTTTCTTATAATTTGCTTAATTGCGTCATTAAGGAAAATTATCATATTTATAATATGTAACATCTCAAATGAAAAAATTAAAATATTTTGATAAGAACTTCATGAGTCAATTTAGATTATATATTTAGTGGACATAAGACAATTGGATAGGTTATCTTTTTATGATTGTTTTTATTATATTTATTTTATGAGAATTCAAATTAATTTAAATATAAATATCGAAAATCAAATAGCTAGTAAAATCTTATCCTAAAACTAACACATTGGTGATAATATTATTTTTCAATTAGAAATTGTTTGCCTCTTGGGACAATGATTAGTCATTTGAGTTTTGTCATCATGAATTGAGAGGAATTTTAATTTGCTGACTAGAATTACACACACCAAAATAGAAAAAAAAATCACATGATTATAGGTAAAATACTTTTGTATTACAACATGAATTATATATGTGAAGGAAAACCCTAGTGTCTCCTTTAAGCATATAAAAGTTCGATGGGATGCTACAATCTTATGTCACTTCAATCACGATATTTATTTCACTCGTGATATTTGATAATATAATTTTTTAAATATTATTTCACTTACGATACTATGATTATATTCTTTTACTTTAATATTACAAACTTAACAAATGAATAGAGATTACAACTTAAAATCCCTTGGAGAACATTATTTTAGGTTAAGTATCATATTCTATCGCATCTTTTTAATTCATTCCAGAATAATATTCATAAAATTCTTATTTTCTTTTACTTTAATATTACAAACTTAACAAATGAATAGAGATTACAACTTAAAATCCCTTGTAGAACATTATTTTAGGTTCAGTATCATATTCTACCGCATCTTTTTAAAGTTCATTTCAGAACAATATTCATAAAATTCGAATTCTAATAAATTCAGCAGAAAAAAAAAGGGAAAACTTCTTACTCAATTCAATATCCTGGACATCTTTTTTTCTTAATAATATTCGTAATTGACCAAGTTTTTCAATGTTTCATGATTAAAATGACTAGCTACACTTTTAAGATGTCACCTTGATTAATCATAAACAATTTTTTTCATTTCTATTTGATTGGGAACGTCGGGGAACCTCAACAGAAACCTCATCTTTTTTGTCATCGATAAGTTCTTCCCCAGCGTCCTATCATTCATAAAAAAAAATACTTAGATTATTGGGAAACTAATTTTTGAAAGCTCGATTGGCCTGACTTGAGTTATGAACATTTTTGTTCAACAATTTAAACCATTTTGTTTACTTGATTTTGACTTTTAGACAAAGGTAATGTACAGAAATTTTTGAATCTCGTATTTTTAAACTAAAAATACATAGAAATATACTAAAGTACTTTTAAATATTACGATCTTAAACATATCATGTGAAAAGTGAGAATTAAAGAGTCCTCTACAAAATGATCAGAAAACAATTCTTTGTAAATTGTGCTCAATTTCATAGGATGATTGATAAAATGGCAACCCCTAAGGACAATATTAAAATGCAAATGCCCACACAAAAACCCCTCCAAAAGTTTGTACAAGAACATTAGAAGGCAGGTTTGTCCCTTCATTTATATAAGTCAAAAAAGTGGTGAGCAAATATACTGATAATTTTTTTTGCAAATACTAAGAGCTGCCACCAAATACAAATAGATATTGGAAGAGAAGAGCTGTAAAGAGAGAAATACAATAAGAATGTTATAATAATAAAAAAAAGATATTAGTTTCAGCCCTTCCACTAAAATGGTCATTTTAAGGATGTATTTCCCATCATCCTGGCTTCATTTGCTGTTAATCGATATTTTAAGAACCACAGCAAGCTGATTTTTGAGCGCCTTGTGAAGATCCTGCTCCCTGGTCCGGTTGATTTATCCTGATGGTCTGAGGCTGCAAAATTCATGAATGCACGAGTCAGTCCGCGAAATATTCCATGTCTAGGAAATGGAACAAGATAACGTCGTGCTGATGTAGAGTGTATTTGGAGAAACGAAAGATTCAAAGTTAAAAAGGAGGATGGGATGCAACAAAGACTGAATCATGCACAATTATAGGAACTTGGAAGGAAGTTATTTTGTATTTGGGAAACAGGAACAGACAGAAATTTAACAAATTAGTGTGCGCTTCCACCTTTCGTCTACTTTTTTAGAATGGAAGGATCTTTGCCCAACGTTTTCATACACCAACATTTCACCCTTAAACTTTGTCTTGTCAAAAGTTAAATCAATAGAAATGTCAATCATCTCTGGTTTCTACTTAATTTCAGCATTCAAACTTGTCAACCAGCACAAAGTATGCACATTTTAAATGAAATTGGTTTGGAAAATAAGACCTCAGCCTTTGAGTCAGATTCGGCAAGCCTTTGTTTTATATCCCGAGCTATGGAAAAGAAAACCTCCTCAACATTCATATTTGTCTTGGCACTCTGCATTAAATATAACTAGGATTTAAGAGAATTGCAATTGCAAATAGTTACAATGCTGGCAAACAGTTCTACTTACAGTTTCAAAGAATTTAATGCCATATTCATCAGCAAGTGCTTGGCCCTTGGATGTAGGAACAGCCTAGAGAAAAGGTGTATCACAACTCAGTTACACAATGGCACGTATACAACAACATACAAAGATCAGCAGATTGAAGGAGCTAGAGAGGAGAGAGAACCCTTTTGCTTTCATCCATGTCAGCCTTGTTGCCGACCAGTATTTTGTTGACATTGTCGGAGGCATGCTGTTCAATGTTTCTTATCCAGTTCCTGATGTCTAAACATGTACATAAAGTTAGTTTTGACCTGACCAACAGAAGTGTACATTATTCTAGCGTATGAGAAAAATGAATTTAGCTTCTCCATAATTTTAAAGCCATGCTTCATTATAAAGAGGGGCAGAAGTCATAGAAGTAGAACATATAGTTTTGTTGGCAGATGCCTGTTTAGAAGGGATTTAATGAGGGAGATTTCCTGTCAAGACCTCAAACATGTGGTAATACTCCTAAAAGTCAACCCCACAGAGCTTACAAAATCATCCACTACGTAAAAGGAACCACTAAAAATTGGCATAACAAAAAGTTAAAACTCCGCTCCCCCAGTGTAACAAGAGAACTTACTGTTAAAAGATGACTCATCAGTTACATCATACACCAGCAATATACCCATGGCTCCACGGTAGTAAGCTGCAAAAAGAAGGCAATAAAATTAGTAAAATGTGAAGTTGACATATTAATGCAGCAGAACAGAGTACTGACTTGGTCAATGTTCGACCAAAAGAACAATCAAATGATAAATTAGCAAGAAGAAATGAAGAACCGCATGTTTCACCGACAAGCTTACCAGTTGTAATTGTTCGGAATCGCTCCTGACCAGCAGTATCCCAGATTTGCAGTTTGATGCGCTTACTGTCAAGCTCTATGGTCCTTATCTTGAAGTCAATACTGTGAAAGAAGACTTTGCATCAGAATAGGTCTCCCGAAAAATAAATACATAGGAAAACAATAATTTGTTTGTGTGACAATCCATCCATGTTTTTACTATCTCTTGAAACCACTGTGGTCAACTTTCATAATCTACATTCCTAGTCAAGAGGAAATCTGGCCTTCTTATTTGATAAAACAAGAAACCTTTTTTATAAGAGGTAAGTGGTAAAACGAGATACCTTTCTTATGAACTGCTCAACACATTTTCTTCATTTAGATCAATTTATGTTTGTGCATCTTATGTTATCTTTATCATAAGAAAAGGTTTGTATTTCTTGATCACCTTTCAGGTACAAGTGCTAAGATAAAAAACAAAAGAGCAATACAAGAGCATGTGGTCGTAGTGGTAGTCGCAGCGTGTCGTTCACATTTTCATAATGTAAACTCAAGTAAGAGGTTTGTGCTACTTTTCCATAAGAATTTATTATCTTATCAAATTCATAGTTCATCTATCCTTTTATAACATTTGAGTTACAAGTGCTTTAAGAAAAACACCAAAGAAGAAGAAGATGATGAGGTAACGACAATGTTGTTCTAAAAATGTAGAAGATGATTACCCAATAGTTGTGATAAAACTGGTCGTAAAGGAGCCATCTGAGAAACGTAAAAGAAGGCAACTCTTACCCACACCTGAAAGTTCAAAAAGAATCTATTATGTCATCTTCCAGAAGTACTAAACTATTAATAGGAAATTTCAACATATTAGCACAAAAAAACGAACAATCTGTTGAAACAAAAAACACCAAACAGCTACTGATCTTCAGCATAATTTGGAAGGTAACTGATATGCATAATGATGGCAATGTTCTTGATATCGTGCTGCGAGAATATTTCAAAGTGAAAGCAAATGAATAGCGCTGAAAATCTAGCCAATTTTTTCTATATGTCCATCTTCAAACAGCTGAGCATGCTGGGACAATGATTGACACCATCTGTTTTCAACAATTCAGCTACAGCCTACCTAAAAAGTATTCCTAGATTCTAACAACTAGTGCAAAATCTCGCAGATTCTTATACAACATATAATTAAATTTTGCAGGCACTGACTTATTTAGAAATCCTTTTTAACTGACTTATCTTATTATCAAAGTAAATGTTACAACTTTCTTTTTTTTTGAGACAGAAAGTAAATGTTACAACTTACAAGCACTAAAAACAACAGAAACTGAGTTGAGGGCTTGAGGCTACAAAATACAAAAGCTTCTTATCCACTGACCTAGCCAAAATGTTATGTGATTTCTCTCACCCACCTTTAATTTGGGAAATGACTAAGATTTTCCCGCTATCTATAAATGTTGCTTCCAAATAGTAATTCTGTTGGACATATGTGAACACCTTGGAATCCAGTGAATGGTGAACCTTTATTCCCATATTTCATGAGACAATAACTTTCCAGGTCACTTTTATTGTCAATCTCCAGGGCCATTTAAAGAGTAAGCTTTTACTCTAGAACTTCATATTTTCATCTCACTTCATTGACCACTAGATCACACCCTTGGGTGTCATGTTCTACAAATCCCCGATCATGTCCAATATTGTATCTACATTATGCACAAAGAGAGGGATGGGAGGCATCTATTGTTGGTGCAAGAACATAGTCTGAAACTTATATCTACCAGATTTCGAAACCAATATAACTAGTTCGCAGACATGTTTATACATGCATCAAATAAAATTCCAACAGATAATTAATTTGGTTAATGTAGTATTTTTCTTTTACCAATTTTTCTCTCTATCATTTAACAAAACGTAAATGAAACAGAAGCATAACAAGAAATGTATAAAATTATTAAGAGAAAAAAGATCAGACAAGAAAATGGATAGACCTTAATAGGAAAAATAAAAGATAGGAAAGTCGAAAATGACTTAAACAACCAGAAAACTGACCTAATAAGCATCAAGTCAATTTTTATATATATGGCACGTGGACCTGACTCTACCCGAAAAGCTAGCTCTAAAAATTGCCCATGTACATATAAGAAAACCATCAATCTATTCCCCGACTAATGTGGGATCTAACCTATTCTAACACCCCCTGGCAGTCACGTTCAGTCGCAAGTCCCAACAGGACATGGACCGGGAGCCCAAACAAGGATGGACATGGCTCTGACTCCGCATAATGATATAGCCCCAAAAGTTATCTCATGATGAGAGGATTCCGCAAATCCATATAAGCAAACCGCCAATCCATTCTCCAACCAATGGTTAGACTCTAACCCACTCAAACAAACTTAATAAGCATCCATTAATATTTTCCTTCCTAGTTACACAAACATACCAGCAAGTGAAGCATAGTATCAACCGAAAGAACAATACTAACAAAGTCAACAATAAGTTCTTCAAGCTCTAATTGCACTTCATGTCTCAAAGAAGCAAACAAAAATGTTCTCTAGCATCACTGCACACATTTTTGTTATTACATATATACAAAAAACCGCGACTTAGAACTGACGCATAAGCCATTAAAGAAAACTAAACAAAAAAAACACAGTTCTACACCTAGATCACAGGGCTACACATCATTAACCCTATCCCAAACATCTCATATCCTATAACTCAACAAAATTTGATCAATAATAAAATTACACATCGAAAAACTACAAAAAGTTTGTTTCACGCACTAAACTTTCGCTATATACTCCACAAGTTTTAATCAATCAACTACATTTCTACATTTAGTTTCCACAACTCAAACACATAACCTCAAGGTCAATATACATAATTTAAAAAAAAAAAAATCTGTTTCATGCACTAAACTTTCGCTATATACGCTACAAGTTTTAATCAATCAACTACATTTCTACAAAAATCTAGTTTCCACAACTCAAACACACAACGTCAAGGTCAAAAAAAAAAAAAAAAAACTTACCGCTGTCGCCGATCAAAAGGAGTTTGATGAGGTAATCGTAATCAGCTCGAGCTCTAGCGGGTGGAGCGGCCATTAGAAATTATTTCTCAGAAAATGATGAAGGGAAACTCCAACCCTAGATATACAAACAAAACAAAAATCACCTTAAAACCTGAAAATCAAATCAAATCGAATTCGAATAAACATATATACGAAGATTTATACATAATTATAATCATATAAACATACAATTACGTACCGAGATCGGAGAAAAATGAAAAATGAAAGAGAGAGAAAGATATGAAAATATGTTTGAGATCTAATAAATAGAGAGACTGTAAATAAATAAATATTATAGGAGGGAAAGCGTCCTTGCAACGTTAGTCACGTCGGCACCGGTCGGCCGTTGATTTTTATTTACTTCTCTTTTGTACGATCAACTTATTTAGAATGGGTCGGATTGGTCGAGTCTTAAATAAATTTAAATATTTAATTATTTTAAAAAAAGTTATGGTAATTTTAAAATATTATGATTTGATTGAAAAAATTTAATTGTTTGTGATGAGTATGACTTGAAAAAAAGAAAAGAAGATTAAAATAAGTTAGAAGAAGCATAAATTTATAACAAAACTACTTATTTTATTAGGTGGTTAATGTCACCTTTTTTGTTTTCCAATTCAAATGTTGACTTCTTTATCACCTCTCAATAATTAGGTCGTATAAAAAAGTTGATTTGGTTTGATTTTAAAGTTTACTGAGTTGGATTATCGATTATCGATTCGTAGAGATGCTAAATTATTATAAAATCATTAAGATATTGGCTTATTGGTTATTAGTTTATCATTTTTTTTATCGTTATCAGTTCGGTATCGGTTTAACCGTTAAGATTTGACACAAAAGAAAAACAATGAAAATCATTTAGAAACAAGGTGGCGAACCAGATAAACCATGAACATGAGTTACAAGTTACATCTTATTCGAAAGAAAACACTTTTACATTGTAGAATAACCAAGTGTTTGAGACAACCAAAAATAAAAGTAGGAAATCAAACTCTAACTCGAGGACTTAATATACAAAATGGTATAAGTATAATTACTTAATTTACTATCGGTTATCGGTTAACCCGTTAAGATTCAAACTGTTAAAAATCGATAACCCGATAACAAAAAAAGTCAAAACTATTATCAAAATCGCTAAACTAATAATCCAATACTAATATAAATCAATAACTTTTTATTGATTTGAATTGCCCTAGTTTGGATTGGTTCAGTTAATTTGGATGGTTATTTGCGTAAATGATTGATCCTTTTTAATGTCTTCTAAATTTAATTTGTTGCATAAGATTTGTCTAGTGCGGTTTATATTTTCTGTGTGATTTGTAAGCTATTACACAATTGAAAGATTTACCAAGTGCGCACAAACTATAGCGCAGAGTCACAAGATTGTACGACTACATATTTTTTTAGGTTCAAAAAAATATATTATCATAAAAAGTATTTATATATTAGTTAGAAGTTGAAAAAAATAAACAATTCTTGTGAAAATTTTAAAATGTTTTGATTGAAATCCCTCTTATGTCTAATTTGTTTCCATCATATGGACATTTATTGAAAGTGCTATAAGAAACCATGAGAGTTATAAAACAATATGTATCTATTTTGTTTTAGCATAATCATATATTCTTTTACCCTTTCTTTATCAAACTAATTATTCATGTTACTTTACTAAAACAATTATCTTGAGTCGAGAGTTATTAAAAATAATTTTTCTATTCTACGAACACAGTGTACAAGTCTATGTAGTACGTTTATTATACTTTTTGGACATCAACTATAAAATTACAACGATATAAATCTCACGAAGAAATGTCGTTCAAAGAAGACAAATCCATAAGGCCCAAATCACCCTTCTATAGACATTACATATCCATTAAAAACATGGACTAAGGCCCACAGTAAGTGGAGCTTGGGCCAGGAAAGCTCATCTTATCTTAGACAAGGGACTGAGTTAGGGAAATTTACGTAATTACATAATTTAAGATGACATAATCTTTAAAATCGGTATCATCTGGATTAATTACGAAAGTTCCATTTTTTCATCCTCACTCTTAATACTCTGATACATCATTCCACCTCTAAGATATACATTATAACTTTGTGTGTGTAGAATGTATTTGATACACGTGTTATTGCTGATACGTAACTTCAATTATTTCAAAAATAAATATGAATCTAGTTTGTAGTTACGTATAGATAACAATATATTGTTTACATTATCAATGCATAGATCTCAAATTCATTATTTTATAGTACCACAAGTAAGAACATGTTTATAAGTTGTCAAATCTTCAAATGGGAGTATGGGACCTAACTTATCAATACTCTAATAACTACATTAGATAATGAAAATAAATCTTTAAAAAAAGAAATTAGTATGTTTGGTACAAAGAAATCTTGGTTAGTCTAAAATCTAAGAAAATAAGTTGGATAAAAATGAGAGAAATATGATGCATGGAAAACAAGTAGGAAAACTTTGAGTATTCAACTTAATGTAGCAATATTACGTATTTTTATCAAATTTTATTGCTTTTAAATACATTTAAATACGTCGAGATACATGTATATCAGGATATATAGAGTCAAAATAAGGTGATTTTTTTAGATATCGTATTCAAGTGGACTTGCATGTATCTGAATATATAACAAATCGCATTGTGTCTCATTTCGCTCGCCATATCCTATTTATCTAATATCCAAACGCATGTGAATCACATCAGATACATATATGCGTTTGATATGATTCACGTGTATCTGGAAATACATAGCGAATCTCGTTCATCGTCATCACCATTTCATTCGCCTGTCTCCATATTAGTGTATCTGATAGCAAAAATACATGTATTTAAGTATATATTTCTCAATATATGATATAAAACTCTTAATTAATGACAAGATACATAATATTAAAAAATATAAATATTAATAATATATATAATAGTGACATAAAATATTATAAATAATAATAATATATATAATAGTGAAATATGTCTAGTTATATAAATAACAAGTGTTATTAGTGTCATTTCAAGTTCTATCATTTCTTTGCATTCATTGGACAACCACCCCTTTGATCATTCCATCCCCAATCACACTTCCCATCCTATTCCATCTTCATATTGTTTACATAAAAATGATTTTTGGTATAATATTATTTTGCTTACTTACTTACAATATATTAGAAAAACAATTTTAAAAACTTATTTATATTTAATGAAAATATTCTCTATTACCAAACACATACTATAACAAATAAAGTATTTTGCGACAATAATAAAATTGTCACTATAATTAAATTTAGCGATAATAGGATTATATAAATATTTATAACCAATATTCTATATAAACATTTTTTAAAATTTTAGTGATTTTAAATGGGAAAATACTCAAGTACTCCCTCAACCTATGCCCGAAATCCCAGAGACACACTTATACTATATTAAGGTCCTATTACCCCCCTTAACTTATTTTATATGTAATTTTCTACCCCTTTTTAGCCTACGTGGCACTAGTTCGAAAAAAAAGTCAACTATCGTTGGGCCCACAAGATAATGCCACGTAAGCTAAGAAGGGGTAAAAAATTATTAATAAAACAAGTTCAGGGGGTAATAGGACCTTAGCATAGTATAAGTGTGTCTCTGAAATTTCGGGCATAGGTTGAGGGGAACTTGGGCATTATCCCATTTTAAATACAATAACATTAACTTAATTATTGTTGCTACAATAAATATTATCGCAAGAAAAAAATTATTACACTGAATATTTCTTTTATGATAATATCACTCAAAAAAAAAAAAGAACAATAAATTGACTAAAAATTAATCTATTTTTTATTGACAAAATCAAAGATCCACACAAATTATGTTTAACATTTTGACAAGTCTTCAATCAATGTTTGACGTGGTGATTATAACATTGACCTATTCACATTCACATCACAAATAATATAAATTAAAGACCAAAATAGTACGTACAAAGATTAGGTCCCCCTTAATCAAGCAAGCAAAGACGTGTGGTGCAACTGTCAAACATGTTAATAGTATAGAACTATATATTATAAAAATAAAATAAGGTCTTAATTAATTTATTTGTCTTATAGTGTGTAACTTTTTGTACCGTCACGTTAGTTAATTTAACTAAGTCAAATTTTAAATTAAACTTCAAGCGACACGTGTTTGTGATTTGGGGTTTAAACTTTGAAGTTTCATATATACCGTAAAATCTACTAAATTGATACTCGATAACTAATAAAATCACAAAAATAATAAAAAAAATTAATTTTGACTTAGGTCAATGAAAAATGTCATTGATTTTGATAATATAGTAATATAATATATTTTCAAAAGACTTTTATATATATATATATATATATATATA